ATTGCTGCGTTTGATAGGCAGCGGGGACTGTGTGAGAGATCCTCTGGATTCCCTCCTCATTATGTATCAGAGCTTATGCTTAACAAGGTGGTGAGTGATTGATGGGGCTGATGAAGAGCAGCTGAGGCCGCAGGGTGGGAGGGATGAGGAGAAGCCCATATCGTGACAGTGAAGAGGGTATGATCCTTCCTGCTGTTGCACATGACGTGCAAAGAACAGACAGGAAACTGCAGGAAGAGAAAGGTTAAAACCCAGAGGTCAATTTATCTGCCTGAATATTTTCACCCAGTCACCCCCTCACTTCGTCTTCTACTCCCCTTTCATGACCCATCCGCTTTCAACGTCCTCCACGTCTCCTAAATTGATGAAAGATGTTGATGAACTGCAACAAAGGAGGTCAAAACCAGATTCGAGGTCTCACGCAAGACAGTTCATCACAGTCAAGTGCTTTTCAGGCATCCACAACAAAAAAATCAGTGCGCCGTTTCTCCAGATTAACACCATAACCCGAAGGCACCTTTACATTTCTTTCTCAGCTCTGAAGTTCACGAGCCTCATTTAGTCCTTCTTGCAAAAGTAGCACAGGTTCTCCGATATGCTGAAGCCACCCCTCATAAATCTGCACACTTAAACATGGGCCCTCAAACCTAACAGCCTGAGAGCTTTAAATGTTGGGGCCACATCATAACATGCATGTAGGTGGAGGGGGAAGCTCACAGGTGCCCCTTGGCTGAGGCTCGCAGCCGCCTGCTTCCCCGCTCTGCAGTCACGCAAACGCTGCCCCTCTCCAGGCCCTGCATCTGATTTTACTGCAGCTTGTGGGGGAAACCAGACACTACAAAGCCCACATTAATTTCTCAAACAGGGTTACAAAGACATAAATCATTTTGAAACTTAGCAAGAAGGAGGAGGTCACAGTTAGAGTAATGCCTTGACTCACTGATTATATAGAAATAGGAAAACATAGGAAGAAAAAAGTCCAGTTTTAAATTGTATTGAATTCCTATATATTTGCTGACAAGAAATTTTTGTTTGTTTTATAGATGTCAGTTTTTGAGTATAATTGAAAATAGCTGTCAAGATATGCTCGCTGTATTGAACTAATCATATTTTCTCTTGACACGCAAGCTTCCAGGAACAGAGTAACAAGCTTTATAGGTCATTTGAGATTTACAAGTTTGTTTTACGCTCCAGGATTCAGTCTCAGACTTTGTTTAATAAAACACACACACACTCACTCACACAAGGTCTTTTTCTGTCCAAACTCTAAGCTGTGACTTGACGTGATCTTATTTCATGTTCCTTTTAAAACTAATTGTCTCTCGTTACAGGAAAACTAGAACAGATTCCATGTAGATTTATTGACGTTGTCTGGAAATTAACAGCTCTCTCTACTGAAGTCTTGTATAGTGTACAGTAATTGCCTCATGATCTTGTCACCTCTAGCACCTTTGCTTCCCTCGTCTTTACAGTGACTTACAAAAGTTTTCATGCAAATGTATCTTTTTTGCGTGTAGTCACATTACAACCATCGAATTGAATGTCTTTTTGAGATATATGTGATAGTTCAAACTGTTTTAAGTAGAAAGCAAAGGATGTGTGCTGTTAATTTTCAGAATAAATAATCAGAACTTTCTGAGTTGCACATCTAGAGACTCAAATTTCTACCAATTTATCGTTGCAATAGTTGAAGTTTAGTCAAGCTGCTCGGAGAGGATCTGTGAATAAAGATCTTTGAGCCTTGCCGTTAAAATTTGGTCTGGACTTTGAACCATGTCACGTGTAAGTACATTTTGACCAAAGCCATTTTATTGTGATTCTACCTATATGTTTGTGTTGTTGTCCAACTGGAAGGTGATTCTCCATCTCAATCTCAAGTGTTTTTTGCCAATAACTGGGTTTTGTATTTATTGCCATCTGTCTTCCCATCATCGCTGACCAGCTTCTTTTTCTCTGCTAAGAAAAAATTTCACCACAGCATGATGCTGCCACCATCATGTCACAGTCAGAAAGTATATTTAAGGGTGCAGTGCTAGTTTTCCTCCACATTTCTCATCAACAAGGCCAAAAGGGTTTTTTTTACGATCTGAACTGCAGATTGAGCACCTTCCACACTGAACACAGAACCCGCTGTTATTTTGTTATTTTAACACCTTGACTTTTTTTTTTAATCTAAATTGGTGAAGATAAACGATCATCTCAACAGATTCTCCCACCTGAGCTGCAGTTCCTCCAGAGTCACCAAATCTTTGAGGATCACATACAAATGAACTCTATTTAGGCAACAGATGTTTATTTGTATAATACATTTAATAATAAGACAATTCATACTGCCTTATATTAATGAAAGCATAAAACTATGAAATGCAATGTCATAATAAAGGAGAGGAGGGGGAGATTTTTTTTTTTGCATGAAAAGCCTCATTTAATTAATTTTACTAAGGGATATTTTGTTAAAAGGGGGAAAACATAAATGTAGATCACATGTTTTAAACTTTTATTTGGAACAACTAATGTGTGGAATAATTTCCTTTCCATTTCATAATTGTGCAGTTTTATATTTCTCTATCACACACAATTCTTATGAAATATGTGAGGTATCAGTAGTTTTACAACAGTTCTTTTACCGTGTGTGCCTTTCTTGGCGTGTCATAAATTCTGGAGATGCATACAAGTTTTCTCGAAACTACGTCTGTGGTTTGGGACTTAGAGTAATTATAAATGTTTGCTCAGTTTCGCTCCACTAAAGGAAACTCATCTACACATGCTAAAACTTCATTCTTGCAGCCACATTTTCACTCTTGTAAAACTTTTATGGCCTTGCGTGAATATTGTACATTCCTTTCTAGCCTTATTATGAAATCATCTAAACTGACGTTCCCAGATGCGGGCGCCCTTTCAGATTTTTCTTAGAGATGAATTGATCTGAAAAAACCCCAATAAAACCACATTCCAAATGTGTGTGAGAACTTTGACTGATTTCTAGGCTGAGTGAAAAGCAGTTGTTCAGTTCTTTTTTGCCACGTCAACCTTCTGCTTCTTCTGATATTGATGCATTGGTTGACATATGTGTTTTACCACAGGGCTTTGATTTGTAATCGAAGCTTGCACGGCAACCTCGGTTTACAGCCGGGGTCTCGATGTATGGACACATGTAGGTAGACCACAGTCGCTTGCTGTGCTCTGCATGAAAAGCCTCATTTAGAGCAGCACAAATCACATGTGCATGGCAGTAATTACCCTAGTTTTTCTCTGACACGCCATGGTCATTTACAAGATTAACCAGTCATAGATAAATAAATCTTCCATGAATGTCTTTCCTACACATTGAATACAATTTAAAAGTGCAGTTTTCTACTGAAGGAAATCACACTTTATTACATGACATTTATTCTGCATTGTGTGTGTTTATAAAATATTTGACATAAATGTAAGATACATTAAATCTGAAACTTTGTCCTATGAAAAAGGAAGAAAATCTAATCAATTTTTTACAAAAAGCATGTCTTTACAACTGAGAACAAAAAGGACATTAAGTCAAAATATATATTACAACTGCATGTATACTTAATTAATGTGAAAACAAAGAAGATAGTTGGACAATAAAGCATCCTAAATGCGGTCCTTGAATAGCTGAATCACTGAGTCTTAAAAAAGTAAAAATCATTGTAACTTAATAATGACAATATAGCATCCAACAATTATAGCATCAGAAAAATCATATAAATACAAGTAAGTTGTCACACAAAGTGAAATATAATATATTAACATTGAAGCTTTACTTGACTCCTATTTCCACTTTTGACATTTTTGGCCCATAACCCACTATAGTTGATTTTTGGATGTGCATATTCTTGTTTTGAAGCTGTTTTGAATCTCTTGAAGAAAAGTGCAAATCATGCATTACCTGCTGAAATACAAAAAGGTTTTGCTGAAGAATATATTACATAAATTTAGCTATTGTTACACTGACAGAAAAAAAAATTAAACAAAGATGAGATAAATAACCTGATGTTCTGTTTTTCTTTTTTTGATTTTTGTTGCCATTTAATGGAAATGTTCTGTTTTAAAAGTATCCAGTTTCAGTATTCAAATATTGCTTAAAGATGGATTCACCTAACAGAGTTAAATTTTGGCAAATGGTTTCAAGTGAATAATGTCCTCTAAGTGATGTTGTTCCTGCAGGTAACGATGAGGTCATTTCTTGTCAGCCAGTGGAAGCTGCTCTGTCGGCTCAAGGTAATTATCTGCAGGCACGCAACAGACTAACCACTTTGAGGTTGGCCCCCGACTCTGTGCAGACCCCTCCAGCTTCCCCACCCTGACCCCCCAACCTCGTGTTTTACCATCTTCCTCTCATTTGACATGCTCACCAGTTGTAAAAGGATCATATTTATTTTACTAATCATTCTCACTTTGCATTCCACTGAAGCTTTGGGGTTCATATAGAAAGTAAGGGAGGACTTTCATTGAAACATGGAATCATCCAGACTAATGACTTGCAGAAGAGTTCTCCGTCTCTTCATCTGAGGGAAGATAAACCAGATCACCAGCAGCAGAGGATAGAAGATTTTTTATGTTACATGCAAAGAAGAGAAAGTTCTCTCAACAGTAAAATGCTACCCTCTAGTGTCCAAATAATCTGATAAAAATATCTTTGAAAGTGCACTGGGACATTTTCCTGGAACCAGGATAGTTTTCCAGAGCAGTTATTTGCCCCACTTTGTTTCTGCCACAGGTAAAAGGCTACTCACTTCCAACATGTGGCTTTGAAAAATAAAAATCAATTTGGAAGACAAGTAATCATGGTGCTGGTATTAGCGTAACTGAAGATCTGTGTACAAAATATAGCATATTTAGTGATAATGTCCTTGTGATATATTTAAGTTCCCAGAGAATTAAAATATCCTTTATGTTTACAGAAAAGTTCTATGGATTTAAAAATAATTGTATCAGCAGAAAATAAAAATATATTCAACCAGATCAGATCTCAAAACATCTTGAATTGGAGTACTTTTGGTATTGGATTTCAGTTTTGCCATAACACATTTTCATTTCCACATTGGTGAGAGAAACAAAACATTGAAGAATTAGCTTATGCATAAGGAGATGAGATGTACACATTCTCTGTAGCGCGGGTGCTGCTCTCGGATACTTTTCTGTCCTCTGGCTGAATTCTGCTGGAGAAGTAGTAGTAAACGAACAAGAAGAATCCTACAAGCACATAATGTATTGGTTATTTTTTTCTTTTCAGACATTTAGTCTGAAATTGAAGAGGTTCACTTTCAGTTCTAGGCTTACCTTGAAAGGAGTTGATGATGGTAAAGATGTAGAAGGAGGGAAGGAGCAGAGGGCCATAGCTGAAAAAGGCAAATCCCCAGCTGATTCCCAAAAGGCAGAAAAGACCCAGAAGAGAGAAAAACCTTTTCTTGGTAGAGATTGTGTCCTTCTTGTCTGCTTTCGATGCAAATTTAGTGATCTGCACTACAGTTACAATGAATATGGTAAAAGTGAAGATGAACACGATTCCATAGTAACCAATGTTCACTCCTAAGTGTAATGTAGAGTCAGGGATCCAACACCTGGAAATCATGAGAGAGATTTGATTATTTTATAATCTGAAGCATAAATATGTAACTTAAATTATCTTCAAAAGATCCTTACATTTTTACTGAAGTCCCATTATTATCAGAAATTTCCACAGTACCATAGTTACTAGAGGCAAGAAGTCCAATCACAAGCAGAGCGGGAATGACTAAACAGAGAATACACATTTTCCTTTAGTGATTATGATCTGCAGACAAACAAATCACAGTCAATTTGAACTATTTTGAGCTCTCACCCCATCCTGCACTGCAAATCTTGCACATATAGTACTTGATGTCTGTGGAGATCTGGTGTAGATTGAAGTACAGGTGCAAGGCCTGTATGAAGAACCATGTGAATGTGGCCAGCATGCTGTAGTGCAGAGCCGCTGCCATCGCCACACAAGCTGCTGAGACCTTCAGATTAGCAATCGTCTCATTTACCAAGAAGCAAAGGTTCAGGAGGAACAAGGCGACGAAGAGATTCATGAGGATCTTTACAGCCTCACTGGCTTTATTTTTCCTGTGAAGCAAATTGGTTTGTGTTAACAAAACCCTTCGCTAAGTAGAATTTAAATAAAAAGCAGACCTTTTTTTTTTTTTTTTTTACCTCACGAGAAAATGCATGAAGAGAGCCACACCCAGGAAGAACAAGGATATGCCACAGCCAGCTTTTGTGATTTGGGTCAGGGTTTTCAAGTCAGAAGAACTAATATTTTTATTCCCTGATGACTGATTTAAACAACAATATTTGCTTAGTAAACATGAAAAAATATATGCGGTGTTCTTAAAAGCTGCATAAAAATGACTCACCATAAGAATAGCAAAGAAGGTAAGGTGAGAACATTGGCATGTGACGCTGCTGTTGACTTTAATTGTTTTGCAGCCATCTGTGATCCAGTTGTGTGCGCCTCCTGGTGGCCAGTAGGGACAATGACACGTCAAATGTTTTGACATGATTGAAATCCATAAACCTGCTCTAATTTGTTTCTCTTTGGAAAATAACTTATTACAAAATGTAAATAAAAGCTAGAAAACATTTTACAACATAATGATATTTTTTTTTTACCCAAGGATTAAAACTGTGACTTTATTTTCAGAGATGGATGAGGATACTACTGTAAACACTCTTCATCTGAATTTTTCAAATTTAAAAAAAGAACAGTGTTGGTTGATGAAGAAGGAAGCCAACTAACAGACTTATGTTTCTTTAATATCACCTGCTCTTTTACATTAAAACATCTGACAAAAAAATTATTCCAAAGAAAGGGCAAGGTCTCATTAAAATTTCAAATTTGATTTCCTGAACACCTTTATCCCTGTGACAAGCATATTTGGATGGATGGATAAACACCATAATGGTGAGCCAAATAAGCTAAAATCTAAAAACTGCATTTATGAACCTCTTAGAAATTCAATAAGACTCTTGAACCAACCTGGCTGGTTACTTCTCCCATCCCATGATACGCAAGAAACACTCAATCCAGTCTGTAGTGGGACAGAAGAAGAAACATCTGAACTCTCATTGGGTCCAACAAAAGGTTATTCTGAAAGTTTTTAGCGTTTCTTACCATATTCACATTATGGAACTGAATATTGATGGTCTCTGAAAGGTTTGATATGTTCACTCCCATCTCAATCCCCAGGATTTGATTATTAAAAAAAGAACTTGTTGCGTTGATCTGTTAAGTGTAAAAGACTGTTATAAATGGACTGATGAATTAACTTCTGGTTCTGATGGAACCAGCAGCTCAGCAATTTTATTTAAATAGATTTGTTGTACCTTGGGAATTTCAGGAAAAAGCAAGATTCCAATATAGGAGCCATTTTTCTTTACGGCCATTTCACTGGCTTCTTTAGGAAGATGAACTGATAGAGTGTATTCTGTTGCCAAATTGTTGCTTTCTGAAATCTATTGCAAATAGATCATTACAAATACATGTGTGATGTATCGTGTTTTTGTTTTTTTTATTGTATGATTAAAGCTGTGTACCTTTACATCTCCAGTTGATGTGAAGACAAAGTTCTTGTTTGTCTGATTTTGTTGTGTCAGTTTAGCAAACACTCCTTTACTTTTACCAATTACGATGCTGGCTGTGGTCCTATTGCCCATTAACCCTACAATGATATTACTTTCTCTCATGATATTTCTGTAACATAAAAAGAGATTTTCATCAAAACATAATTATATGTCTCGACAATTTAACACTCCTTGTAATGCAGCTTATACTACTAATTATAATATTCTTAGATCATTAGATTTATTGACAGATATACTTACGCTGCATTCTCAGTGTTGTCAGTTTGATTCTGTTTTACAGAATTTAACTTTGGGTTATTATCTAACACCATGGGTGGAATTGTTGAAGAAGTGGTAGTGCTTGATGCAGCAGTAGTTGGGCTTGATGTTGTAGTCCCCAATGTTGCAGGTTGAGAGGTCTAGTTTGAAACAAATGTGCAATATGTCAATTATTTCTTTGAAAAGAAATGACAGAAATCAACTTACCAAAGTAGAAGTTGGGCTTGATGTTGTAGTCCTTGATGTTGCAGGTTGAGAGGTCTAGTTTGAAACAAAGAAATTACAGTAGTCAGCATACCAAACAACTTGTTTGAGAAAGAGTGTTGAGGTTCTGAAAGTTGTGGTTGTAACAGTATTTTCTGGCTCTCTAGTCCCTGAGAAAGTCTGATCAATTGTAGGTTTGGAAGTCTAATTCATGAGATATATCATGAATTTTTGACTTGTGAAATATTCTATGTCTTTCCAAAATAAAATTTGCAGAGGTCAATTTTCAAAATAACTTGTTTGAGAAAAAAGAATAGTTTGAATTGCTGAAAACTGCTTGGATCCCAGGTTCTTGAGTTGTTTTGTTGTTTGCTTTGATTGTATTTTCATTATAATTTTGTGTTAGTTTTTCATTTTGATTAGGTGAGCCTCGTAATTGCTTTTTTGTTCAGACCTTTCATACTGATTTGAGTTTATATTTATTCTTGTGTTTAGTTATTTTTAGTTACTCTAGTTTTATTGTGTTTAGTTTGCTTTAGTGTTCGATTTATTTCCTCGTCCCCTGTATGCTTTCCCTCACCCCCTGTACCACTTCTTCTCTCTTTCTCCCTCTCCTTAGTTGACCTTGTACTTCCTCCACTCACATTTTAAATAAAATAAAGGTAGATTCTATGATTAACAGAAATATTACTATTGGATATCAACATCAGCTCAAATTTTATAATTTTGGCATCCCTGTAATTACTTTTCAATAGTTTAGAAAGGTAACCAATAACAATAACAGCAAAATTTTTAAGTTAACAGGGACAAAAATTTTACAAAAATCAGAAATTATATTAGATTAAAAAAAGGCAGGGTCACAAAGACACTTCTAAAAGTGTCTATACTCCAGTTTTTAGTTCATGTCTTCATCTTCAGTCAATTTAAAAGGTACACTCTCACTTTCCACAGCTATTTATAGCTTTTGTGTCCATGTCAACGACATGTGTCCAACATCCATTGGACATGTGTCCAAAAACAAAGGAGTTTCTGTGACTCCTTTGTCCTACACAGAAACACATCTACCCGCTATGTGCCGCTGTTCTATCAGATTATCATATGTTGTCAGAAAAGCATACTTGCAGTTAATACGCATGTCTGCGCATGCTCAATAAGAAGTCCGACCATAAGAGGAGGTGTCAGATCAGCATATGCGACAAGTTGTAATGAAAATAAGTCATTAAATTGTTTTCAATGATAACTAGATAGATATAGATGCATTGTTGTGGTTTCAATGCAGCGTCAAACTGCAGCTGCAGTCAACTACAACAAATGCCTAAAACTTGTTAGCCTAAGTAACCGCTAAGTCAGGATGTCATACAGCTGTTAATAGCAAAGTGTATGACGATCTGTGTCATGATTCTATGTTGCTGATTAAATAAAATCATATGGTAATGACAGTGCATACTTGTCTGATAGTTATAGCCGTCAGTCTGACAGTCTGACAGCATATACTATACTGATAGAACACCAATAACGGTGCGCTAAGCCACAAATTTTTTGTGACCAGGATGATATGAAATTTATTTTCTGATTTGTCCATAAAGCATTAATCACTGTGCAGAACCACTGTGTTCAGTCTATCCACTAGCCTGTACAAATAAACCTGCTATGCTCTTCTATGCCATTCGCTCTGAATGGGCTTTTTGCACGTCAGCTTCCGTATTCTGGGATAAGCGGCTCGGTCACTTCCAGTCTATTGAAAATGGCATTTCACACTAGGTGCTTGCAGGGCTTGCTCAAGGTAATAATTAATGATGCACATCGATCCAAAGCTCCAAGTTAGCTGGAGAAAGCTTATTTGGAGATGTACTCCAGACATTGCGCCAGTCATTTTAAGTCTGCCTGTTAATCCACCACAAAACGATAAAAACCCAAACATTATCATTGATTAATGAAATTCCCTTGGGGAGAACTTCAAAATTGAACACTTAGCTTTCGTCAACAACTCATAGGCGGAAATGAGAGCGCTGCACAACGCAAATAATCACCCGTCCGGAACTCCGTGCGCTGAATAATAAAACATCGTTTGATGAAGATTTCTCAAGAACTTTTAATAATTGAGGTACTCGAATCATTTGAGAAATTGACACAAGCTCTAATGTGATTTATAATATGTTTTTATGATGTAAAGCACTTTAAACTGCCATGTTGCTCAAATGTGCAATACCAATAAACTTAACTGACGGCTAAAACACTAGTACATAAATGATTGTGTTAATTTTTCACATGTGAAAATTGTTTTTCAAATAAAAAAATATAGAGATCATCTTTACCAAAATAACTCATTTTTGAAACAGAAATGCCTAATAACTGAAAATTAAGGGTGAAAAACTGTTGGTTTGTAGTCCAGGATGAAGTGCTTTTATTTGTACTCTGAAAGTCGAGGTGAAAAAAGATTGTATTCATTTTTATCTATTGAATATCTATTAGAATTAGAAATGAAAGAAATTAACTTACTGCAAAACTTGTTTGAGAAGCAATATTGCTTGAGCTGCTGAAAGATGGGGCTGTAAAAGGAATTTTTGGCTGTGCAGATCCAGATGAAGAGCTGTCGATTGTACGTTTGGAAGTCTAATTCATAAAAGACTGTATTAATGTTTGATGTGTTAAACATCTCATGTCTTTCAAAAATAAAAAGGACAGAAATATGAGAGATCACATGATCAAATAGCTTGAGCTACTGGAAGTGAGGCTTGTAAACAAACAATTTTGGTCTGTAGAACCCGATAAAATTATGTTAAGTTTGTTTTTTGAAGACTAGCTAATAAAGTATTGTATTTATTTTTGATGTATTAATTGCATTTCAATAATTAAAGTAGCAAAGGGCAACTTACCACATTACTTGTTTTAGAAAAAGAACTGGTTAAGTTACTAATACTCAGTGGTGTTGTTGAACTTAATGACTGTGCAGGCCCTGACGAAGTGCTGTTGTTCGTAGGTGTCGATTTCTATTAAATAAGAAATTTCATTTATTTTTTAACGTCAGAAATATTTGTTTCTTTAGAAAACTAAAATGACTGAAATTAGTTTACCACAATACTTGTTTGAGAAACAGAACTGCCTGAATTGCTGAAAGTTGAGTGTGTAGATGCAACCTTTTCCTCCTTAGTCCCTGAAGAAGTGTTGTTTGTACTTTGGGAGGCCTAGTTCATCAAAATTGTGTTCATTTTTGATTTGTGGAGTATTAGTAGTCTTCCAAAAATAAATAAATAAATAAATAAATACCAGGATTAACTTACCAGATTGATTGTTTGAGAAACCAAACTGCTTGAGGTGTTGAAATTATGGGCTGCACTTTCAGACTGTGCAGTATCTGATGAAGTGCTGTTGTTTGTTGGTGACAATGTCTGGTGCATAAAAGATTGTATGTATTATTAAATTACTTAAGCATAAGTTGTCCACTAAAATTGAAAGGTATTGAGATTGTCTTACCAAATAACCAAAATGAGAAATGAAACGGCGTGAGCTACTGAATTTCAAAATAATCTTTTTGGTCTAATGAGGTGCTGTCGTTGGCACTTTTTAATGTCAAGTTTGTAAAATATTATATTAATTTTCAAAATAAATATTATTGGAATTTCAAAAAATATAATGGAAATAAATCAACTTACCAAATAACTTGTTTGAGGAGAGTAACTACTGGAGCTGTTGAAAGTTGAGCTTGTAGACAAAACACTTTGGTCTATATTCCCTGATAAATTGATGCTCTTTGTACTTTCTGAAGCCTAGTTCACACAAGATTGTATTTTCAAGCTTATGAAATACTAATTGTGTATCAAAGAAGAAAATATCAAAACTACTTTACCAAATAACTTGTTTGAGAAGCAGAACTACTGGAGTTGTTGAAAGTTGGGCTTGTAGACAAACCACTTTGGTCTGTATTTGAAGGTGGTGACGTCTAGGTCATAATAGTTTGAAGTAAGTTTTCATGTGTTAAACAATAATTGCATTTGGAGAAAAACAATTATAGATATCATCTTACCAAATAACTTTCCTGAGAAGCAGAACTGTTTGAGTTTGAAGTTGTAAACAAAGTATATTGATTTGCAGTGCCCGATGATCTGGTATCATTTGTACCATTGTAAACCTTGTTTAGAGAAGAGCAACTTTAGTTTGATGTGTGAATTATTGTCTCTCAGAAATAAAAATCACAGAGGTCAATTTACCTTATTACTTGTTGGAGAAACGGATTTGTTGGAGGTGCTGATATTTTGGCTTGTATAACCATCTTGTTGTGTTGCACTTGTTGAAGTGCTTCCAGTTGGCAACTTCTAGTTCATGATAGATTTATGTAAATTTTTCATGCATGGAACATTACTCATCTACCAAACATGAAAAGTACAAAAAACACTTTACCAAATAACTTGTTTGAGAAGCAGAACTACTGGAGTTGTTGAAAGTTGGGCTTGTAGACAAACCACTTTCTTGGTTTGCTGCACCTGATGAACTGCTTTCATTTGTAGGGTGTGACGTCTATTTAAGAAAAAGGTTCTTTAAACTTTAATTAGACAGTTTAGTTGTCTTGCAAACATAAAATGTACAAAAACCAATTTACCAAATAACTTGTTTGAGAAGCAGAACTACTGGAGTTGTTGAAAGTTGGGCTTGTAGACAAACCACTTTCTTGGTTTGCTGCACCTGATGAACTGCTTTCATTTGTAGGGTGTGACGTCTATTTCAGAAAAAAGATTATTTAAATCTTTAATGAGACAATTTAGTTGTCTTGAAAACATAAAAAGTACAGATATGCTCTTACCAAGAATCCTATTTGAGAAACTGAGCTGCTTGATGAGTTTAAATTTGAGTTTAGCAAACTTTCATTGTCAGTTGGTCTTGGAAAAGTGATGTTGTCTGTATTTTTGGGAGGCTAGTTCATCAAATATCATATTTATTATTAAGTACTTGAAATATTGATTGGCTTTTGAAAATAACAATTACAGAAGTCAACTTACCAAGAGACTAGTTGGAGCAAAAGAAGTGCTAACGTTGCTGATATTGGAGTTTGGTGTTTGACTTTCTGACTGTGCAGCCCCCAATGAAATGCTGTTATTTGTAGTTGATGATGTCTAGGGTTTAAAAGAAGCTATCAGTTTTGATATGTTTAATATTTGTTAGTTTTCAACATAAAATACAAATCACCTTACCAAATATTTTTGTGACACAGAACTTCTTGAGTCACTGAAATTGGAGGTTGTAAACAAATGATCTGCATTTGTTGTTCCTGATGAAGTGTTTTCATTTGAAGGTGATGATGTCTAGGTCATAATAGATTGAAGTAAGTTTTCATGTGTGAAACAATAATTGCATTTGGAGAAAAACAATTATAGATATCATCTTACCAAATAACTTTCCTGAGAAGCAGAACTGTTTGAGTTTGAAGTTGTAAACAAAGTATATTGACTTGCAGTGCCTGATGAAGTGGTGTCATTTGTACGATTGTAAACCTTGTTTAGAGAAGAGCAACTTTAGTTTGATGTGTGAATTATTGTCTCAGAAATAAAAATCACAGAGGTCAATTTACCTTATTACTTGTTGGAGAAACGGATTTGTTGGAGGTGCTGATATTTTGGCTTGTATAACCATCTTGTTGTGTTGCACTTGTTGAAGTGCTTCCAGTTGGCAACGTCTAGTTCATAATAGATTTTTGTAAATTTTTCATGCATGAAACATTACTCATCTACCAAACATAAAAAGTACAAAAAACACTTTACCAAATAACTTGTTTGAGAAGCAGAACTACTGGAGTTGTTGAAAGTTGGGCTTGTAGACAAACCACTTTCTTGATTTGCTGCACTTGATGAACTGCTTTCATTTGTAGGGTGTGACGTCTATTTCAGAAAAAAGATTATTTAAATCTTTAATGAGACAGTTTAGTTGTCTTGCAAACATGAAAAGTACAGATATGCTCTCACCAAGTAACCTGTTTGAGAAACTGAGCTGCTTGATGAGTTTAAATTTGAGTTTAGCAAACTTTCATTGTCAGTTGGTCTTGGAAAAGTGATGTTGTCTGTATTTTTGGGAGGCTAGTTCATCAAATATCATATTTTATTATTCAGTATGTGAAATGTTGATTGGCTTTAAAAAAATAACAATTACAGAGGTCAACTTACCAAGAGACTTGTTGGAGCAAAAGAAGTGCTAACGTTGCTGATATTGGAGTTTGGTGTTTGACTTTCTGACTGTGCAGCCCCCAATGAAATGCTGTTATTTGTAGTTGATGATGTCTAGGGTTTAAAAGAAGCTATCAGTTTTGATATGTTTAATATTTGTTAGTTTTCAACATAAAATGCAAATCACCTTACCAAATATTTTTGTGACACAGAACTTCTTGAGTCACTGAAATTGGAGGTTGTAAACAAATGATCTGCATTTGTTGTTCCTGATGAAGTGTTTTCATTTGAAGGTGATGACGTCTAGGTCATAATAGATTGAAGTAAGTTTTCATGTGTGAAACATTAATTGCATTTGGAGAAAAACAATTATAGATATCATCTTACCAAATAACTTTCCTGAGAAGCAGAACTGTTTGAGTTTGAAGTTGTAAACAAAGTATATTGATTTGCAGTGCCTGATGAAGTGGTATCATTTGTACCATTGTAAACCTTGTTTAGAAAAGAGCAACTTTAGTTTGATGTGTGAATTATTGTCTCTCAGAAATAAAAATCACAGAGGTCAATTTACCTTATTACTTGTTGGAGAAACGGATTTGTTGGAGGTGCTGATATTTTGGCTTGTATAACCATCTTGTTGTGTTGCACTTGTTGAAGTGCTTCCAGTTGGCAACTTCTAGTTCATGATAGATTTTTGTAAATTTTTCATGCATGGAACATTACTCATCTACCAAACATGAAAAGTACAAAAAACACTTTACCAAATAACTTGTTTGAGAAGCAGAACTACTGGAGTTGTTGAAAGTTGGGCTTGTAGACAAACCACTTTCTTGATTTGCTGCACCTGATGAACTGCTTTCATTTGTAGGGTGTGACGTCTATTTCAGAAAAAAGATTATTTAAATCTTTAATGAGACAATTTAGTTGTCTTGAAAACATAAAAAGTACAGATATGCTCTTACCAAGAATCCTATTTGAGAAACTGAGCTGCTTGATGAGTTTAAATTTGAGTTTAGCAAACTTTCATTGTCTGTTGGTCTTGGAAAAGTGCTGTTGCCTGTACTTTTGGGAGGCTAGTTCATCAAAGATCATATTTATTATTAAGTACTTGAAATATTGATTGGCTTTTGAAAATAACAATTACAGAAGTCAACTTACCAAGAGACTTGTTGGAGCAAAAGAAGTGCTAAAGTTGCTGATATTGGAGTTTGGTGTTTGACTTTCTGACTGTGCAGCCCCCAATGAAATGCTGTTATTTGTAGGTGATGATGTCTAGAGTTTAAAAGAAGCTATCAGTTTTGATATGTTTAATATTTGTTAGTTTTCAACATAAAATACAAATCACCTTACCAAATATTTTTGTGACACAGAACTTCTTGAGTCACTGAAATTGGAGGTTGTAAACAAATGATCTGCATTTGTTGTTCCTGATGAAGTGTTTTCATTTGAAGGTGGTGACGTCTAGGTCATAATAGATTGAAGTAAGTTTTCATGTGTGAAACAATAATTGCATTTGGAGAAAAACAATTATAGATATCATCTTACCAAATAACTTTCCTGAGAAGCAGAACTGTTTGAGTTTGAAGTTGTAAACAAAGTATATTGACTTGCAGTGCCTGATGAAGTGGTGTCATTTGTAGGATTGTAAACCTTGTTTAGAAAAGAGCAACTTTAGTTTGATGTGTGAATTATTGTCTCTCAGAAGTAAAAATCACAGAGGTCAATTTACCTTATTACTTGTTGGAGAAATGGATTTGTTGGAGGTGCTGATATTTTGGCTTGTATAACCATCTTGTTGTGTTGCACTTGTTGAAGTGCTTCCAGGTGGCAACGTCTAGTTCATAATAGATTATTTAAATTTTTCATGCATGAAACATTACTCATCTACCAAACATAAAAAGTACAAAAAACACTTTACCAAATAACTTGTTTGAGAAGCAGAACTACTGGAGTTGTTGAAAGTTGGGCTTGTAGACAAACCACTTTCTTGATTTGCTGCACCTGATGAACTGCTTTCATTTGTAGGGTGTGACGTCTATTTCAGAAAAAAGATTATTTAAATCTTTAATGAGACAGTTTAGTTGTCTTGCAAACATGAAAAGTACAGATATGCTCTTACCAAGAAACCTGTTGAGAAACTGAGCTGCTTGATGAGTTTAAATTTGAGTTTAGCAAACTTTCATTGTCTGTTGGTCTTGGAAAAGTGCTGTTGCCTGTACTTTTGGGAGGCTAGTTCATCAAAGATCATATTTATTATTCAGTATGTGAAATGTTGATTGGCTTTAAAAAAATAACAATTACAGAGGTCAACTTACCAAGAGACTTGTTGGAGCAAAAGAAGTGCTAACGTTGCTGATATTGGAGTTTGGTGTTTGACTTTCTGACTGTGCAGCCCCCAATGAAATGCTGTTATTTGTAGGTGATGATGTCTAGAGTTTAAAAGAAGCTATCAGTTTTGATATGTTTAATATTTGTTAGTTTTCAACATAAAATACAAATCACCTTACCAAATATTTTTGTGACACAGAACTTCTTGAGTCACTGAAATTGGAGGTTGTAAACAAATGATCTGCATTTGTTGTTCCTGATGAAGTGTTTTCATTTGAAGGTGATGATGTCTAGGTCATAATAGATTGAAGTAAGTTTTCATGTGTGAAACAATAATTGCATTTGGAGAAAAACAATTATAGATATCATCTTACCAAATAACTTTCCTGAGAAGCAGAACTGTTTGAGTTTGAAGTTGTAAACAAAGTATATTGATTTGCAGTGCCTGATGAAGTGGTATCATTTGTACCATTGTAAACCTTGTTTAGAAAAGAGCAACTTTAGTTTGATGTGTGAATTATTGTCTCTCAGAAATAAAAATCACAGAGGTCAATTTACCTTATTACTTGTTGGAGAAACGGATTTGTTGGAGGTGCTGATATTTTGGCTTGTATAACCATCTTGTTGTGTTGCACTTGTTGAAGTGCTTCCAGTTGGCAACTTCTAGTTCATGATAGATTTTTGTAAATTTTTCATGCATGGAACATTACTCATCTACCAAACATAAAAAGTACAAAAAACACTTTACCAAATAACTTGTTTGAGAAGCAGAACTACTGGAGTTGTTGAAAGTTGGGCTTGTAGACAAACCACTTTCTTGGTTTGCTGCACCTGATGAACTGCTTTCATTTGTAGGGTGTGACGTCTATTTAAGAAAAAGGTTCTTTAAACTTTAATTAGACAGTTTAGTTGTCTTGCAAACATAAAATGTAAAAAACCAATTTACCAAATAACTTGTTTGAGAAGCAGAACTACTGGAGTTGTTGAAAGTTGGGCTTGTAGACAAAACACTTTCTTGATTTGCTGCACCTGATGAACTGCTTTCATTTGTAGGGTGTGACGTCTATTTCAGAAAAAAGATTATTTAAATCTTTAATGAGACAATTTAGTTGTCTTGCAAACATGAAAAGTACAGATATGCTCTTACCAAGTAACCTATGTGAGAAACTGAGCTGCTTGATGAGTTTAAATTTGAGTTTAGCAAACTTTCATTGTCTGTTGGTCTTGGAAAAGTGCTGTTGCCTGTACTTTTGGGAGGCTAGTTCATCAAAGATCATATTTATTATTCAGTTTGTGAAATATTGATTGGCTTTTGAAAATAACAATTACAGAGGTCAACTTACCAAGAGACTTGTTGGAGCAAAAGAAGTGCTAACGTTGCTGATATTGGAGTTTGGTGTTTGACTTTCTGACTGTGCAGCCCCAAATGAAATGCTGTTATTTGTAGGTGATGATGTCTAGAGTTTAAAAGAAGCTATCAGTTTTGATATGTGTAATATTTGTTAGTTTTCAACATAAAATGCAAATCACCTTACCAAATATTTTTGTGACACAGAACTTTGTGAGTCACTGAAATTGGAGGTTGTAAACAAATGATCTGCATTTGTTGTTCCTGATGAAGTGTTTTCATTTGAAGGTGGTGACGTCTAGGTCATAATAGATTGAAGTAAGTTTTCATGTGTGAAACAATAATTGCATCTGGAAAAAACAATTATAGATATCATCTTACCAAATAACTTTCCTGAGATGCAGAACTGTTTGAGTGTGAAGTTGTAAACAAAGTATATTGACTTGCAGTGCCTGATGAAGTGGTGTCATTTGTAGGATTGTAAACCTTGTTTAGAAAAGAGCAACTTTAGTTTGATGTGTGAATTATTGTCTCAGAAATAAAAATCACAGAGGTCAATTTACCTTATTACTTGTTGGAGAAACGGATTTGTTGGAGGTGCTGATATTTTGGCTTGTATAACCATCTTGTTGTGTTGCACTTGTTGAAGTGCTTCCAGTTGGCAACTTCTAGTTCATGATAGATTTTTGTAAATTTTTCATGCATGGAACATTACTCATCTACCAAACATGAAAAGTACAAAAAACACTTTACCAAATAACTTGTTTGAGAAGCAGAACTACTGGAGTTGTTGAAAGTTGGGCTTGTAGACAAACCACTTTCTTGGTTTGCTGCACCTGATGAACTGCTTTCATTTGTAGGGTGTGACGTCTATTTCAGAAAAAAGATTATTTAAATCTTTAATGAGACAGTTTAGTTGTCTTGAAAACATAAAAAGTACAGATATGCTCTTACCAAGAATCCTATTTGAGAAACTGAGCTGCTTGATGAGTTTAAATTTGAGTTTAGCAAACTTTCATTGTCTGTTGGTCTTGGAAAATGATGTTGTCTGTATTTTTGGGAGGCTAGTTCATCAAAGATCATATTTATTATTAAGTACTTGAAATATTGATTGGCTTTTGAAAATAACAATTACAGAAGTCAACTTACCAAGAGACTTGTTGGAGCAAAAGAAGTGCTAAAGTTGCTGATATTGGAGTTTGGTGTTTGACTTTCTGACTGTGCAGCCCCCAATGAAATGCTGTTATTTGTAGGTGATGATGTCTAGAGTTTAAAAGAAGCTATCAGTTTTGATATGTTTAATATTTGTTAGTTTTCAACATAAAATACAAATCACCTTACCAAATATTTTTGTGACACAGAACTTCTTGAGTCACTGAAATTGGAGGTTGTAAACAAATGATCTGCATTTGTTGTTCCTGATGAAGTGTTTTCAATTGAAGGTGGTGACGTCTAGGTCATAATAGATTGAAGTAAGTTTTCATTTTTGAAACAATAATTGAATTTGGAGAAAAACAATTATAGATATCATCTTACCAAATAACTTTCCTGAGAAGCAGAACTGTTTGAGTTTGAAGTTGTAAACAAAGTATATTGACTTGCACTGCCTGATGAAGTGGTATCATTTGTACCATTGTAAACCTTGTTTAGAAAAGAGCAACTTTAGTTTGATGTGTGAATTATTGTCTCTCAGAAATAAAAATCACAGAGGTCAATTTACCTTATTACTTGTTGGAGAAACGGATTTGTTGGAGGTGCTGATATTTTGGCTTGTATAACCATCTTGTTGTGTTGCACTTGTTGAAGTGCTTCCAGGTGGCAACGTCTAGTTCATAATAGATTATTTAAATTTTTCATGCATGAAACATTACTCATCTACCAAACATGAAAAGTACAAAAACTACTTTACCAAATAACTTGTTTGAGAAGCAGAACTACTGGAGTTGTTGAAAGTTGGGCTTGTAGACAAAACACTTTGGTCTGTATTCCCTGATGAATTGATGGTCTTTGTACTTTCTGAAGCCTAGTTCACACAAGATTGCATTTTTAAGCTTATGAAATACTAATTGTGTATCACACAAGAAAATATGGAAATCGACCTACCAAATAAACAGTTTGAAGACCAGAACTGCTCGAGCTACTGACAGTCTGGCTTGTAGACAAATTATTGTGGTGTGAAGTCTCTGATGAAGTCATGTTTTTTGATGTTCTTGAACTCTGGTTCATAAAAAAATATGTTTATATCTGATTTGTGAAGCATTAATAGTTTTTCAAATAACAGATACAAATATTAATATACCTCATTTCTTGTTTGAGAATCGGACCTGCTGTCATTGGTAAAATTTGGGGTTGTAAACAAAGTTTCTTGGTTTGCTGCACCTGATGAACTGCTTTCATTTGTAGGGTGTGACGTCTATTTCAGAAAAAAGGTTCTTTAAACTTTAATGAGACAGCTTAGTTGTCTTGAAAACATAAAAAGTACAGATATGCTCTTACCAAGAATCCTATTTGAGAAACTGAGCTGCTTGATGAGTTTAAATTTGAGTTTAGCAAACTTTCATTGTCTGTTGGTCTTGGAAAAGTGATGTTGTCTGTATTTTTGGGAGGCTAGTTCATCAAATATCATATTTATTATTCAGTATGTGAAATATTGATTGGCTTTCAAAAATAACAATTACAGAGGTCAACTTACCAAGAGACTTGTTGGAGCAAAAGAAGTGCTAAAGTTGCTGATATTGGAGTTTGGTGTTTGACTTTCTGACTGTGCAGCCCCCAATGAAATGCTGTTATTTGTAGGTGATGATGTCTAGAGTTTAAAAGAAGCTATCAGTTTTGATATGTTTAATATTTGTTAGTTTTCAACATAAAATGCAAATCACCTTACCAAATATTTTTGTGACACAGAACTTCTTGAGTCAATGAAATTGGAGGTTGTAAACAAATGATCTGCATTTGTTGTTCCTGATGAAGTGTTTTTATTTGAAGTTGGTGACGTCTAGGTCATAACAGATTGAAGTAAGTTTTCATGTTTGAAACAATAATTGAATTTGGACAAAAACAATTATAGATATAATCTTACCAAATAACTTTCCTGAGAAGCAGAACTGTTTGAGTTTGAAGTTGTAAACAAAGTATATTGACTTGCAGTGCCTGATGAAGTGGTGTCATTTGTACCATTGTAAACCTTGTTTAGAAAAGAGCAACTTTAGTTTGATGTGTGAATTATTGTCTCTCAGAAATAAAAATCACAGAGGTCAATTTACCTTATTACTTGTTGGAGAAACGGATTTGTTGGAGGTGCTGATATTTTGGCTTGTATAACCATCTTGTTGTGTTGCACTTGTTGAAGTGCTTCCAGTTGGCAACGTCTAGTTCATAATAGATTATTTACATTTTTCATGCATGAAACATTACTCATCTACCAAACATGAAAAGTACAAAAACTACTTTACCAAATAACTTGTTTGAGAAGCAGAACTACTGGAGTTGTTGAAAGTTGGGCTTGTAGACAAACCACTTTCTTGATTTGCTGCACTTGATGAACTGCTTTCATTTGTAGGGTGTGACGTCTATTTCAGAAAAAGGTTCTTTAAACTTTAATGAGACAGTTTAGTTGTCTTGCAAACATGAAAAGTACAGATATGCTCTCACCAAGTAACCTGTTTGAGAAACTGAGCTGCTTGATGAGTTTAAATTTGAGTTTAGCAAACTTTCATTGTCTGTTGGTCTTGGAAAAGTGCTGTTGCCTGTACTTTTGGGAGGCTAGTTCATCAAAGATCATATTTATTATTCAGTATGTGAAATGTTGATTGGCTTTTGAAAATAACAATTACAGAGGTCAACTTACCAAGAGACTTGTTGGAGCAAAAGAAGTGCTAACGTTGCTGATATTGGAGTTTGGTGTTTGACTTTCTGACTGTGCAGCCCCCAATGAAATGCTGTTATTTGTGTGATGATGTCTAGAGTTTAAAAGAAGCTATCAGTTTTGATATGTGTAATATTTCTTAGTTTTCAACATAAAATACAAATCACCTTACCAAATATTTTTGTGACACAGAACTTCTTGAGTCACTGAAATTGGAGGTTGTAAACAAATGATCTGCATTTGTTGTTCCTGATGAAGTGTTTTCATTTGAAGGTGGTGACGTCTAGGTCATAATAGATTGAAGTAAGTTTTCATGTGTGAAACAATAATTGCATCTGGAGAAAAACAATTATAGAAATCATCTTACCAAATAATTTTCCTGAGAAGCAGAACTGTTTGAGTTTGAAGTTGTAAACAAAGTATATTGACTTGCAGTGCCTGATGAAGTGGTGTCATTTGTACCATTGTAAACCTTGTTTAGAGAAGAGCAACTTTAGTTTGATGTGTGAATTATTGTCTCTCAGAAATAAAAATCACAGAGGTCAATTTACCTTATTACTTGTTGGAGAAACGGATTTGTTGGAGGTGCTGATATTTTGGCTTGTATAACCATCTTGTTGTGTTGCACTTGTTGAAGTGCTTCCAGTTGGCAAAGTCTAGTTCATGATAGATTATTTAAATTTTTCATGCATGAAACATTACTCATCTACCAAACATGAAAAGTACAAATAACACTTTACCAAATAACTTGTTTGAGAAGCAGAACTACTGGAGCTGTTGAAAGTTGGGCTTGTTGAGAAACCATTTTGGTCTGAAGTCCCTAGTGAAGTACTGTACTTTGTATTTTTTGAAGTCTAGTTCATAAAAGATTTTGATTATTTATTATTTGTTATTATTGTTGTGAAATAAGCCATATTTTAAAATTATAAAATAAAGAAACCACCGTACCAAATAATTTGTTTGAGTAGCAGAACTCCTTTAGCCGCTTAAATTTGGGCTTGTCGCCAAACCATTTTTGTCAGTATTCCCCACTGATGTGCTGTTTTTAGTCATTTTTGAGTCCTAGTTTATAAAATATTGTATTTATTTCTGTTTTTTAAAGTATTAGTGTTCTTTTAAAAATAACAATTATAGTGATTAACTTATCAAAACACTTGTTTGAGGAGCGGAATTGATTGCAGGGCTGAAATTAGGGGTTGTAAACAATGAATCTTGGTCTGTTGCACCTGATGAAGTGCTTTTCTTTGTAGTTTGTGACATCTGGTTCATAAAAAAATTTTCAACTTTTTAAATGTTAGTAGTCCACCAAACATGAAAAGTACAAAGATGATCTTACCAAATAACTTGTTTTTAGAAACTGATGTGTTTAAATTTGAGTTCATCAAGGAATTATTTATTATTCAGTTTGTGAAATGTTAATGATCTTTCAAACAATAAGATTTACAGAATTACAACGTACCAAATTACTTTTTTGAGCAAAATAACTGCTTAAGTGGCTGAAATTGGGGCTTGTTTTTTAGACTTTCTGACAGTGTAGTCCTTGATGAAGTGCTTTTGTTTTTAGGTGGCAATGTCTAACAAATAAAATGTATACATTTTTGTTATGTGAAATATTTCATTTTCAACATAAAACATAAATCACCTTACCAAATATTTTTGAGACACAGAACTTCTGGAGTCTCTGAAATTTGAGGTTGTAAACAAACTATTTCTGTTTTGTCTTTGAAAACATGAAAATTCCTGACATCATCTTACCAAATAATTTTTTTGAGAAACAAAACAAAATTGAGTTGCTGAAATTTGAAGTTGTAAACAAATTTGTATGGGGTTGAACTCCCCGATGAAGTTGTGTTGTTTGTACGATTGAAACCTTAGTTCATAAAATATTGTTTTTATTTTTAAGGTGTGAAGTAAAGTCTTTCAAAAATAAAAATGACATAGGCCAACTTACCAAATTTCTTGTTGGAAAAACAGATCTGTTTGAAGTACTGAAATTTAGTGTTGTTTGTGGTCTTTCTGTCTGTACAGTCCCTGTTGAAGTGCTTTTGCCTTTAGGTGGCAATGTCTAGTGCATAAAAGATCATATTCATTTTTTTATTTGTTAATCATTACCTGTATCTTCCAAACTTAACTATTTCAGAGATCAACCTAAATAAATTACTTGTTGGAGAAAAATAACTGCTCAAGTGATTGAAAGCTGTTCTCGCAAATGAACTGTCTGTCTCCGCATTCCCTGATGCGAAGCTCTCATTTGTAGTTTCAGAAGCCTCATTCATAATAATTGCATTCATACTTACTTTGTGAAATTTTAGTTTTTTTCTCAAGATAAAAATGACACAGGTCGATGCACCAAATAACTTCCTTGTGAAACAGAACCGCTTAAGTTGCTGAAAGTCGAGGTTGTAAACAATCTATTGTGTCCTGTAGTTTCTGATGAAATGCAGTTGTCATAGATGATTGGTTATAAAAGTTTGTAGGGATGCACCAAAATAAAAATTTGAGCCAATATCCGATACAACTATTGCTGGTATGGCTGATGACTAATAATTATTGATATTAGATATATTATGTATATTTTTGTCTCATTTTGACACCTTGAAAACACGACCACGATATTTACCTCACCATTGTTCTCTACTTCAACTTAACTTTCCACAATTCTGCGCTCCATCGCTATCACATGAGCAAAGAATTACCACATGACTAAACACCTCCATTCCAGAAACATATGGAAACAAGTTGGAAAAGAAAATCAGTTGTTGATATTGTTCCAGTTTTACACCACTATGTTAAAAAATAACTAATGTCAATTGATGCTGATGTTAATACAGTTATACCATACATGCCTATCATATTTTTTGTTTTTGATCTGTGAAATCTTAGTTCTTTCAAAAATAAAAATGATCAAAATCTTACCATATCACTTGTTTGAGAAACTGAACTGCTTGAGGTGTTGAAATGTGAGGTTGTGTTAGCACTTTCTGGTTGTGCAATCCCTGATGAAGTACTATTGTTTGTAGGTGGTAATGTCTAGAGTATAAACATTGTTTTAATACTTATTTATAAAAACATTTTTACATGTGAAATACCTGTTGTCTTCCAGAAATAAAAATGACCAAGGTCATCTTACCACATTAGTTGTTAGAGAAGCCAAACTGCTTAGGGTGCTCCACGATGCAGTAGTAGTTTCCTTGTTGTTTTGACAAGAATTGATCCATGAATCTATTTATATGAAAACATGGATAAAAGTCTCTAGTGAACATTTATCAAATGCTTACTTGAAAATTCTTCAATGGCACTGATAAAAAATACCTCCACATAATGTTGAATTTCCAAACAGATGACCCTGGCTAAGTCTGATGGTCGGTCCACCTTAAAAATGCAAGAAAAAATAAAGTTATAAACTTTACAATATATATGTAAAGTAACTTTGCATGCAAATGTAAATGAAGAGAAAGTGTTTTGCATGTAAGTCTTCATACCCCTTGAAAATTCTCTCTTCAGACCTAAATGTAGTTTACTGGGTTGTTAAAGTGGACAAAAATGATGTGTTGTTTATAAATTTGATAAATAATGAAATCGAAAAATGCTGTTTGTGCATGCATCCCCCTTCACTATAATATTCTCAAATAAAGTCCTGTACAATTCAAATGCCTTTACCTAATTTGTAAAAAGAGTTCACCCGTGTATCTCAGCATAAATCCAATTGTTCTGTGAAGATCTCAGAGAAACAGAAATGCTGATGGACAAACTTCTTCTCAAAGACCATGGAACAAAGCAGATGGACAGGTCAAAGTAAAAGTAGCAGAGAAGTTTAAAAGGTTCACCTTTCAGCAGAACAACAGCCCTAAACATGGAATCAAGGTCGGATCATATTCAAAATCCAGAAGGTTTTTTTTTTTCACTAGAATTGCAGTCAAAGCAGACTTTTTAAAATTTTCTTTAAAAAATTGAAAATCACATCACTTTATTTCAACAGTTGTATACTTCCTGTGGCCTACCACACCAAATCCCAGTAAAATACAATTTCAGTTTGCAACTTAGTAAAATAGAAAAGATTTCTGGTGGTAACATTTTTTGGTAGTTCAAGGGGTATGGATACTTCAGGCATTGTTTGTGCCAAATATGTGTCCATCACTTTACCCATTTTTAAGCAGTTGTGAATGTTCAGCATTAAACCTGAAACAAAGTATAAGAAAGACCCGTTGCATAAAGAGAGAACATTGACATTGAAAACAGCAAAGACATGTAACTATTTTCACCAACTGGAGACACTTTCCCAGCTTTCGGCTTTAGCTCAAAAAGAACTTCATCAGCAGTACCTTGTGACTTGTAGAACGTTGATGGCATACATGAAAAATTATATGTTGGGTTCTGTAGCACAATAACATCTTGGTTGCATAATGCTGTTTCAGTCAGTGTTAGATTGTAACAGTTATCAGCCAAACTTATTTTGGGACTGCAGTCGAAATCTTCACTTGAACAACAACCTGAAAATACAATAACATATCTATCAGCAATGCTGCAAATTGTTGACCTGAAACTGAATTAGGTTTATCCGGTTAAAATGGATTAGCTCAGTTGATATCTCACCACCACAGCATTCTGGTATGTACAAATACATATCTATTGCTTCTCAACTTGTATTATTGTACTGTATTAAAGCCAGGCTGATGACACTAGAGTTTAGTTTAATGGAAGGGGACAAGCAATCTCCCATTTCTAAATTCAAAGTTGGCATGGTAAAAAGAGCATCAACCAGTTCTCAAAAAACATTATCTCAATTAATGAACATATTCAGTAACACGGACAGTCACAAACATTTGTTTAAGAAGACGGATACATTCATAATCATATTGAAGAAAATAATAATATTCAACTTCTGAACCTGTTTTATTTTCCTGGAGGTTGAAACACAGCCTTTTTCCACTTTTATTTATATAGACAGCATCTGCAATATAGAAAAAAAAACATGTTCAAAACATTTAATTTGTTTTTTTCACTCTAACTGTTCTTGTTAAACACTGTTGTCACTGCAAATCCAAGCTCACCTGTTGGGAAAGTAGTACTGACGGAAAGATTTTGAGGAGAAATAAACAGTATGTTTTTTATCCTGGTTCCTGTATTGATGCCTGTAAAGAAACAACACTTAAAAACAGTATCAAAACTAAATTAGATGTACTTGTTAAAAAAAAAAATGTAAATGTAAAAAATTATATGATCTCAATACAACTTTTAGTACTTACATGAAGCTTCACAAAAGTGGTCCTGGAGCAAAACTGCATACAGCAGAGAAAGTTTCACAACAGCAAAAATCCATCGAGTGTTTACAGCCAATTCTGTCATAATTCAAAGTAAGTAGGCAAGATTACATGAGCAAAAAACTTGACTACAGCTTGACTTTATATATTCACTCAAGAGTGTAGCTGCTTCTGCGATATTACTTAGATCAAATATGAATTGCCTGGCGTTATCATAACAGAAACCTGTTGCGGCATCATTACTATTCAGTCTGTTTTAATTTGCAAATTTAAGCATGACTACAGAGTGTATGTTGTCTGCTTTTTTTGGTCTCTCGCGAATGCCAGGAGTTCAATGCAAATGTTTTTGATCCACCTCTAACAAATCCAGTTTTTCTTTTGCACATAGTTGTTTGTAGTGCTGCTTATGTTTCTTATCTGTTTCTTGTCATAGTAAAATAAAAGAAGTAGATTTCCACGGTAGACAGGTCTATACTCTATGTAAATTTTCACTGGGGTTGTGATGGAGCATTAATAAATCTAGGAGAAAATGATGTTGCTTTGATGGTTGCACAATGGTCACTTAAATTGTTTTTATTGCATTGTACCAATCTGCATATATCTTAAAGCCAACCATGCCATGAATTCTAAGGAAGCTGTCATACCGCAAGAAAAGTTTGCGTAAGCTCTGTTTTTCTACCACCAACATGTACATTTTATGGAGGTGGTCTCTAAATTGATCAAGCTTGAATTACTCCTCCAATCTTTCTATCCTTGGGCTTTAATAGGTGCCCTTATTTTTATATTAGGATAAATGCATTGTTCACATCCTTACACTGGCAATAAATATAATTCTGAAGGAAATTGCATTACCTGTTCTTCATTTATTCTGCTGATCTAAGAATCTAACAGAACCCCCATTTCTGTAGGCCACAAACATATTTTAAGATTTGAATATAAAGGTTCGACTGCCAAAATATGCTGTTTTCAAAAAATGATGTGATGAGTAATACAACTCACACATGTATTTTCTATCACATGGATGGGATTTTTTGCTTCATTTATATGACAAATATAGACCTTACACATTATCTTAAAAGTAATGGATCTCTAACAAACCCACTTGTTAGAGATCCATTTAACCCACTGCAGGTGATCTGAATTTGCCAACTTTCACTGACGGAATAAATCTACAAAGCTCATGCCATGCCACAGCTTGAGCTTTGTGTGATCAAATTTTCAGTTTCCTTAAAAGTGGTGCAATTCAAAGGAAGTAAGCAAATTTCTGCCAAAGTTTGAGAGTACCTGTTTGCATTTTGGATCTCGGTGAAGAGAAAGGCTTTATTCATAACTGAACAAGAGGACAGTTGTGTTTGGAGTAACATGAATTACAGTCGAATCAATTATGAAAACAGCAATGTTCCTCCCCAATATCCTGACCTGCTAAACAGCATGGTAAATGCATTAACGGTATGTTCACTCATGACATACGTATAATTCACAGTGTCATAGTTATTTGCCCATTTTTTTAAAACGATGTCACATTTAAATGTTTCAAATCATGAAACATTTTTTTACATCAGAAAAAGATACTCTGAGTAAATTCTGGCTGCATTTATTAAGGCGATAAATCTTTCCAGTCCATTCTGGCACTAAGTGGAAAAAGTAAGTGGGCCACAAACCTGGTTGTGCCATTGTAGGCAGGGACAACTGCCTACAATGGTTGTGATAACTGGCAATCAGTCAGTACTATTGCACTAGATAAATTTTGTACCTCTCTCTTTTGAAAAATGTTTTTATTCAACCACATTTTAGTTTTTTTTTTTCATGCAGTGTTTTTAAGGATTATCAGTAGCATCTCAATGGACTTACGTTTGGGCATTCACTGAACAACAAAGCTTTCTTTTTTTTTTTTTTCTTTTCTGAGCCATTTAAAGGTGGACTTGCTGGTAAGTCTTAGATTATTGTTCTGCCATAGAACCGAGTTCACTTGAGCTTTGGGTTATGAGCTGGTGGCTGGACATTTGGTCAAGTTGTCCATGTCTTAAAGCAGTAAAGCAGACATAAAGCATCACACTAGATATGTTCACCACTTTTGTGTTTATTTATTGTTTGTTTTGGGGTTAATGGCTCTATCTGTACCTTAAAATAATTATAACCCTTCCCTGCCTAAGAGATACTGGAATTGATCCCAGATTAAACTAAATAATTTAAATTTTTGTAATAATTTAATTCATAATAAATTATTGATTACAATTATTAATAATTATAATTCCATGAGATCTGATTCCCAATTATTTTTATGCCAACATGTGCGTTACTTCAGCAGTTTTGGTTTCCATAATTCTGACTCCTGACAACAGCTGTAGTTGAATGTTTGTGGAAAGTTTCTGCAGTTTTTTTCTTTTTTTGGGGGGGAAGTACATGACACGGGAGGGAACAAAAGGCCCAACCAATATGTGGCCACTTAATTTACATCTGCTCTCTGAAGGCAAACTTCATGTAATCCTAAACTTTCTGGTCTAACTGGACTACCACTAACTTTTGACACTATTCTTCGCTTTTTAGAGAACAGTTGTCCTGTGGTTTTTGTCTCTTCTTGAGTTACTGTTGAGTAACTTATAACTTTATATAACCTTAAAGCTACAAGCTACATACCGTTGAACAATGATGCCTCCATTTTGCAGTCTGAAGCACTGGTATCCAACTGACTACACAAAACCTATGTGCCCTGATCAAATGAATGCTATAAGACTTAACTCATATTACCAGCCGATGGTCTGCTGAGATTTTTCTCTTCACAAGTTTGACTTTCGTCTTTATTTATACATATGTATGATAACACCTATATCCAATCAGTAGCTGAGAGCAGGAATGTTATTTTTATCCATTTAGTTGCTTAGACAGGGTGAAACTGAAAACACAGATACAGACAAAATGCAGCCCATTAATTTACATTGTCTTCTGTCAAACATTACATTCACACTACTGGTCTATACAAATAGTGTGTAATAAAAATTGAAATTCAAATCTACAAATCCATACAGGCAACAAAACATAGGAAGTAAACAGGTGGGCTAAAATGTATGCAAGTGGTCATGCACCAACCCAAACTCTCCTATCGTATATCCCTTCGTCATTTCACATTGTGCAAGTTCATCCGCTCCACTGAGATCCTGAGCCTTGGGAGCTTTCAGAGCAGATATCTGGAATTACGGAACCAAAAGAGTGTGGCTTACAACTTCCAGCGATCCTGATCGATCGCTGGATTGGACAGCATCTCTTAGCCGTTATAGCTAGTTACGCAACCCCCACACACATTAGTATGTCTTAAGTCATGTCAAGAAAACCATATTGTTCCGTTGTAGGATGACCAGGCATCTCTCACAAAAATGGTCATGGCACCTTTTTTTTCCCCTGTCTGGTGGTTCCTGAAACCACCAAAAAACAAAACAAAAAAACTTAAGGGGCATGAGTGTGTTGTAAAAGCACACAGGGAGTTAATGCTACAGAGTAAAAAAGCTTGTGGGTCCAGAGGATTCTGTGTCAAGTTAATTATTTGCAGTCATGCAACAAACTGATTTGAGGTTGGTCAATGACACTGTGCACTCACCTTAAACTTGATTCCCTTTTTGCACCCTAGCATCTTTAAGCCAGTTGTAAAAAGGTCACATTTAACTTACTAATCAGTCACACTTTACATTCTACTGAAGCTTTGAGGTTTCACGTACAATGTAAGACAGGGCTCCAAACTGACAAGTTCCAGGAGTGTATCCCAAGAAAGAAAACCCTAATTTCATCTCAGAAGCAACTAAGAACTGCCTTACAGGAAACAGTCGCTATTTTTACACTGTGTAAAGAGTCCAACAGAGAGCGGAAACTGTTTAGACCAGTTTAGCAACCTCAGAAATGAAATGCTGTCCTCTGGTGTCCATACAGCTTCCAAACATGGTGTCTCTTATATCAGACATTGAAATGGTGCCTTGATAACAAAGCTCCACAAGCAAAGACTTAGAAGATCATTTGGGAATATGATTAAATACATGTACTGTCCAAGTTGTCAACACACTATAATTATTGAACATAGGTAAATTAAAGTTATTTTTGGTGAAACCAAATAGGGGAAAGGGAGGAAATAACGAGTGCCTTATCGATAAGGAGATGTGTGCACATTCTGTGTGGCAAGGTTTGTGCTCTTGGATTGCGTGCTGTCCTCTGGAAGGATCCTGCTGGAGAAGTAGTAGTAAACAAACAGGAAGAAACCTACAAAAACACAGAATGTATTGGTTATTTTTTCTGTTCCTTCTTAGGCATTTAGTCTGAAATGTCACTTTTAGGCTTACCTTGAAAGGAGTTAAGGATGGTGAAGATGTAGAAGGAGGGAAGGAGCAGAGGGCCATAGCTAAAAAAAGCGAATCCCCAGGTGATGCCCAAAAGGCAGAAAAGACCCAGAAGAGAGAAAAACCTTTTCTTGGTAGGTTTCTGGGCTTTTGCTTCTTTAGATGCAAAGTGTTTGATCTGCACTACAATTACCACAAATATGGTTAAAGTGAAGATGAACACAATGCCATAATAACCAGTGTTTACACCTAAGGAGATTGTAGAATCAGGAATCCAGCACCTGGAAGTCATAAAAGAAAAGAAATTATTTTGTCACACAATAATCAGACATGAAATCTAATGTATTTTAAATATTTTCTTACATAGTTACTGATGTTCCATTATCATCAGAAATGTCAATGTAACCATATTTGCTTGAAGCAAGAAGTCCGACAACCACCACAACTGGAATAACTGAACCACATTTCTTTTAGTTATAATAATCTACAAACAAATCAATTCAAGTTTTAAGTGTATTTCTCTTACCCCATCCTGTGATGCAAATCTTGTACATGTAATATTTGGTGTCTGTAGGGATTTTGAACATGGAGAAGTACAAATGCAAAGCCTGCATGAAAAACCATGTGAATGTGGCCAGCAAACTGTAGTGCAGAACTGATGCCATCGCCACACAAGCTGCTAAGATCTTCAGTTTAGCAATTGACTCATTTACCAAGAAGCAAAGGTTCAGGAGAAAAAGGGCTATGAAAAGATTCATGAGGATCTTTACAACTTGGCTGGCTTTAGTTTTCCTGTAAGACATATTGGTTTGAGGTAAAACACACACTCATCATAGGGGAAGTATTCAAATCAAAAGGAAACCTCTTTATATTTTTACCTTATCAGAAAATGCATGAAGAGAGCCACACCCAGGAAGAACAAGGAGATACCACAGCCAGCTTTTGTGATTTGGGTCAGGGTTTTTAAGTCAGAGGAGCTGATCTCCTCAGCACCTGACTGGTTTCAAACAGGAAAACATAATTACTCAACAGGAAAACAAGTGAAAACATATCTTAAAAACTGCATAGAAATTTGTGTTTTTAAATTAGAATAGCTTATTTTGTCAGTATCACCACTGGTGTCTGATAATTGGTTTCGAACAGGAGGTAAAGTCCAGCCCAAAAGTATTACATTAATTTGTGTTCACACAAGCAGATTTTGATTTAATATATAGATACTCAGAATTTATTAATTTGACAGACTTGTTTCTTCTGGCATGAAGTAATCTAATATTTGGAGTGCCTTGCCAAAGACTCAACTTAAATCCAGTCGAGATTGTATGGAGGAACCTAAATACTATGACAAGAAGGCCTTCCAATCTCCAAGCTAAAATCTACTAGATGTATGAATGATTTTGAGCTGTACTTCACAAGTACAAAAAACCCAAATATATAAAATTGCTTTGAATAAGTTGCATATTCATTATTTTACCATGAGAATGGCAAAAAATGTAAGATGAGAGCACTGGCACGTGATGCTGCCATTTGCCTCATTTGTTAGGCAGCCATCTGTGATCCACTTGGCTTTATCACCTAATAAACAAGAAAAAAACAAAGCGACAACATGAGACTAGACTTAGTTACACACAAATGACACATATGGTAAAACACATTTTAGAAAGTAGTTTTAAACAGATATTTTGATGCTTACATTGTGCTTACTGGTTTGTATTCAACGGAAGACTTAAAGTTTAACCATAAAGCTCCAATTTATGAATGCTCCATTTACACAGAGCCACTCTTCAGTTAAACCGTAATAGTTTTTGTTTGTAAAAAAAACAAACATACTTGTTGGCTTACTGTCACTTGTTGGCACTAGTCATCAGTGACTGGAGTCTCTCATACTGGCAATTTTTGAAACCAGATCGCAGAGTGAAACATTTCTGTACCACCCCACGCAGAGGTATGGAGTATTCTACTCTGCATATGCGCATGAAGCGAACATATGCAGAATGCCTGTCTGTTGTGATTATTCTATCTATGCACAGCCAATTAACAACAAAAAAAAACAGTATAGTGGTTTTTTATGCTGGTTAGCATAATTTCTGATGAGTAATATATTACATGAGCACTTTGATTATGGCAGATGGACATGGATTACTGTTTACAACGAGGTGTAAGTTGGTGAAGTGAAAGCTAAGGGTCAAAAGTACATGGGCGTGCCCTGGCATGTTAGTTGCAGTTAACTCTAAGTTGTCTTTTTTGCCAATCAACATCTGAAAATAATGTCCGTTTTCTTGTGTAAATGTAACTTAAATTTCAAAACAGCAAGTTGGTTGCTGTTCAGTTAAAGGAGTTTAGGTTTTCCAGGAAGGTACAGGTCATTAATTTCTATTTCACTTTAATCATTTTAAGACTTTGTTCCAACAAAATGACAATATGTTATTGAAATGTTGAACTTGATTTCTGGACACCATCTTGCTGAGTCAGATTAGAAATGCATTTATAAAATAAACTTAATTTAAGCTCAATTAACATACCATCTTTACTTCTCCCATCCCATGATACGCAAGAAACATTGAATCCAGTCTGCATCAAGACAGAAAAACAGAAAAATCTGAACATTTATTCTATCCAACTATAGATAATTATGAAGCCACCTTTCTTTTTTTTTTTTTTTACCGTGTTCACATTACTGAAGTGAATGTCAATGGATTCAGAGAGGTTAGATATGTTTACTCCCATTTCAATCCCCATCATTTCATTGTTGAAAAAGTAACTCGTTCTATTAAGCTGTTGAAAGATAAAACAGTGTGATTAATAATATATATATTAAAATAATAACTATATTTTACAATAATAAGACAAACTTTTGAATTCACCTCAGGAATATCTGGAAAAAGCAGCACTCCAGAAAATGTTCCATTTCTATTTACAGCCATTTCACTGGCTTCTTTTGGAAAGTGAACTGTCCGAGCAAAACCAATGTTATTGCTTTCCTCGAGAATCTGTCACAAACAAGTGTTATGAGAAAACAAAGTCATTTGTAGCTTTTACAAGTCTGTTATCATCGGTCTTGCATGAAAGCCGTGTACCTTTACATCACCAGCTGATGTGAAGCCAAAGTCCATGTTTGTCTGGTTTTGTTGTGGCAGTTTAGAAATGACCCCAGCAATGTTGCCCATTTGAATGGCTGCTGTGCTGGCATTGCCCATCTGTTCCAGGTAGGCGTTCAGATTCCTCATGAAATTTCTTAGGAGGAAACACACATAATTTAGGTAAACTGTAAAAAACTACCCATGTTAAAATGACATGAACTGGTATCTGTGGATGTTTGTCTCATTTTTGCATCAATGGCATTAATAATTTAAATATTTACGCTGCTTGATCTGAGTTCAGTGGATTGGCTGGAGCTGGAAAGGATAGGATTTTTTCAGGTGTTTTTCCTGATGCTGTTTTTGAAGAACGTAGCTGATTTTGAGAAAATGCAACATTTTTAGTCAAAAGTGTGAAATGTCACATTTACTCATAAAAAAACAGATACTACATGAATTATCTTACCATCCGATAGGTATAGAATGTGAGATGACTGCATTCACATGTGATTCCACCAGCGATCTTTATTTCACAACCAACAGTGATCCAGTCTATATGGTTCCCGGGTTGACAGAAGGAACACAAAGGTTTACATTCACACTTAATAACATTTGTAACATTTAAATCTATAGTAAAAGTTTCAGCTCTAAGTAATAGCTCTGTTTTAACAAATTGGAGTGCCCATCCAATGACAAAAATTAGTTTTTAAGATTATCAAATGTAATTTTAGCCTGTAGACATGACATATAGCATCATTGCATCCAATAAACAACAAACTGGCACAGCATGGATTTCTTGAAAGATGCAATCTACTGCTTTCTCCTGTATCATATAATACCTCAAATATGACTTTTCTTGTACAACTGCATTACATAATATCACCTTAAAGTGTCCCTTTTTAGAATAGTCAAAACAATGTCATACCCCAAAAGTTTCAGCTTACTTAGTGAAGATATAAATTTTCATTGCTTGTTCACAAAGCTCCTTTTTTCTAGTATCGATCTAGTAGAATTAGTGATCAGTTCTTGTATTTCTTTTTAGTTTATTGCTAAAATCTAAGACGTTAATGGCACAACATTCTCGATTCCCAAAATGCATGAAGAGGATAAAAAATTTACTTCTTTTTTTTCACAAAAACTGTCTGGTGTTTTGAAATTACAGTTATAAAGGCCGGAGGCCCAACTACATTGGTCTTATAATAAAAATGTTCCTTAGAACTTTAACTGCTCCAGGAATCTCCACCTTTAGTATACTTTATTATAAAATAAATTTTATTTCCAAGAAACATATGGCATGTAATCATTTCTTTAAATCTTTAGCTAAATATAATTGATTGGAAAGTGATTCATTCTTCAATTATGAGACGTGGCAAAAGATAATCATTTATGCACCTAATAAATCCTAAACAGTTCCCATTAAAATATGCAAAAGCAAAAAGCACACAGTCCAAAAAAATGGCCAAGGTTTTGAAATCTGTAGAAAAATTCTCTAAAAGGTTTAGGATGAGTCAAACAGAAAAGTTTTTAACCTGTTTCATTGGTACCATTCCATGATACACAAACAGCTTCAGATCCACCCTTTTGGATTAAAAAAATAATAATAATCAAACATTTAAAATATATTATTGTCAAAGTATTAATAGTAGTAGTTAATAGTTAATGTCATCATTTCAGCAACAGTTTCACAACATCAACAAAATCCTGAACAGTTGGAGCTCAGAAAAATGTTTCTCGATTTACCTTTTCACTGTACTTGATCTTGACGGGTTGTTTCAGGCCAATTATGTTCTCTCCCATTTCAATTCCAATCACTTCATTATTATAAACTCCATTTGTGTTATTCTGTTAAGAGAAAAATACTCTTGTTTTATATATATAGATAAATGTCTGTCTGTCTGTCTGTCTGTCTGTCTGTCTGCCTGTGTGCGGGGGTCCGTGTGTGTGGGTGTGTGTGTGTGTGCGCGGGGGTGCTTGTGTGTGGGTGTGTGTGTGTGTGTAAGAGAGAGAGAGATGAAATCTGGTCTCACCATAGGCATTTCTGGAAAACGGAGAACTCCAACATATTTTCTTTCGTTTTTAATTGCCATTGCAATGGCTTCTGCAGGAATGCGAATTGTTGTCGTAAAGCCATTTTCTGTCTTGTTTCTTTCACCAGCAGTCTATATCAAATAAACATTATCAGAGAAACTCAAGTGACATGTAATTCTTGGATATTTTCTAAATCTGAAAGTGTGAAAATTTACATCTCCCTTTGACGTGAAACCAAAATTCATTTCAGTTGAATTATCTTCTAGCTTAGCAATTACTCCGGTAATGTTGCCTATTTGTATTTTTGCCGTCTTGGATTCATTCATTTTTGCAAAATATGTGTCTAAGGTCTTCATTATTGTCCTGTAACGGAAACAAAAGTAGTTTCAATTGCCTACATTTCCACTTAATGACAATATCACAGATCCAGTTATATAGTATAATTCCTAAAATATACTACATGGATAATATATTTTCTAAACTATACAATATCATAATTTTAATAACAAGATATTTACGCTGCTTGCGCTGGGTCCAAAGGACTGCTTAAGTTGCCATGAAGGCTTATCTCTGGTATGATCCATGGAAAAGTATCCGTCTTATTAAGTGGAACTGTCTGATTTACAAAGAAAGAGATTATATTAATCCTATTGCACCAAATGCCAGCAGTAGCTTCAATAAATGGAAATTAGAGATAAACCTTACCATGCCAATTGCAAAAAATGTCTTATGGGTGCATCGGCAGGTGATGCTGCCATTAACCTGATTTGTTCTGCAGTTATTTGTGCTCCAGATTTGATCACCCCCTGGTGTGCAGCAATAGAACAGCAAGAGAGGAAAAAAGTAGACTGTGCTGTGCAAAAGTTATCAATCCGTGTCATTCATACTGAATGTAATCTTCACTATGACTTTTTCACAAGACACTTAGACTTTAAAACTTCCATATTTTCATCCCAGGTTCTGGGACATACAATGTTTCCAGCTATTAAAAATGTATTTACCAAAGCTTGTGGGTTGATAAAGACATTGGTCATACCCAGAAAAAGCTTTGATTTCACAGTGAACAGCCCACACAAAAGGACTTATTTTGGCAGGGTACTAGTTAGATTTTTGAAGACACATACATGACCATAAAATTAGAAAAAAGATAAAATTTAAAACTATAAAATTAATATAACAGCTTAGACTCCACAGAGTCCACATATTAGATTAAGCCCTAAATTAGCTTAATAAAAGGTAAAACTATGTTTTTCATCAAATCAGTTAGCCTGCATATAAACCAGCTACATGACATGCAATGACGTGCAATACAACATAACATGAGGGTACACCAGCACCAACAAGCATTATTTGACTTGCACTGCTCTATCCACCTAATTATATTATTATATGGCATGTGTAGCACTTTATCATGTCCAGAGAACCCCAAAGCACTTCACACTACATCCAGTCATTCACTCATTCACACACACATTCTCTGAGCTACTGGTTTGTAGCTTACCACAATCCAGGACGTGCTGGAAAGGACAAAACTTTACTTTTTTGTTCTCTCACTAGACACAACTGATGTGAAATTCTAAATAAATTCTAAACAATGTTCTTACATTTACCATCCCATGACATGCAAGACATGTTTGTGCCACTCTGGAAAGGACAAAACATGAAGGGAGATGAGAAAACATAAAGACAAGTTAGGATCTTTTTTTGGTGAGAATAAAGTTCATTATTAATATCAAATAAATATTTACCAGGTTTGCATTGTTGAAGTGAATGTTGATGCTTGGCAAATATTTGTATATATTTGCTCCCACTTCAATTCCCAGCACTTTTTTATTGAAAAGGTATCCATCATGGTCAGCCTGTTACAAGACAAATATAGTAAATATTTAAAATGTATATTTTCATTCAAGTAAATGGTTAAATACTCAGAACCAATTTGCTCTTACATTGGTCATTCCTGGAAAAAGTAGAACTCCAATGTACGTGCTCTTTTTATTTACTGTCATTTCACCGGCATTATTAGAGAATTGAATCTGTACATCAAGGTCCATATCCATATTGTTCCTTTCCTTCAGAATCTTGGACAAAGGGACATTGGAATTAACTAGGACTCTTATAAACTCTTGTTTTTTTTCTCTTTCTGTACTTGAATCAACAGAAGCTGCATACTTTGACATCCCCACTTGCTGTGAAGCCAAAGTTGAATGCAGATTGGCATTGATCTTGTGGTTCCAGTTTAGTGATTGCCCCAGTGACATTGCCTATTTTGATGAAAGCTGTATTGAAAGCTCCCATCTGATCCTGGTAGAAACTGAAATTATTCATAATAGTTCTGTAATAAAAAACAAAGTTGATTAGTGACCTCTCACATTATCAACTATCTTGCACTTATGTAAAGCAGCTCCATTAGTGTGCGTGCCATCCTTGGATTTTTCCCATTGATAAGAGATATTTACGCTGCTTCCTGTAGAGTCATGTCATTGTTTGAGTACGGAAAAGTTAGATTCAGCGGCTGCTGAATCCCAGCTGAGTCTGACGTTTCACAAGATACGATTTTTACAGTGGGTGTTATTTCAGATCCAAACTTGATCATGTACTTAACACTATCTGTAAATTGAAGCACATACACAAAAACAAACACAAGTGACAACATTTTGTGAACAAAATGTTTACCGAAATATTATTGGAATTTAAAATTGAGAATACCTTCACAAGTCTGCGTGTCATTACAATGATTTTGGCAGAGATGATCCAGAGTGATTCTAATATTCCTGCCACCTGAGATCAGAATAAAATTTGTTATTAAGAGGTAATCTACTACAAAGTTTAGAGATGCAGCAACAGGATGTAGTTACCTGGCTTCAAGCAATTATGAAGATCGAGAATGAACTCTAAGTGGTAAAACATTCAAACAAAATAGATAAGAAGCTGATGCATTCAGTGCATGTAGGTTTTTATCACTTGGAGATTTAGTTTTGATATTGAGGCCATCGTTTGTACCTGTTGAGTTGTGGAGCTGTGAGAACATGCATGAAAAATTGCTCATTGGCTTCAGTAACACAACAATGTCGTGCTTGAGCAGAATCTCTCTTCTGACATTCAGGCTGTAAGTGTTGTTACTGAGACGAACTATATTGGTGCAACAGATGAAATCTTCAATGCCACAACAATCTGAAGAAAAGAAAAAAAGTCATCATCATTTACTGGTGAAAATGGAAAACTGACTTGCAGGAAGCAGATGATAGGATAAGATAACTGTACCCGCATTAGACTGGTTTGCCTGAATGTTAAAACAAAGGTGAGTTCCGTTTTCCTCTTTGAAGACAACATCTAAAAAACAGAAAAAAGAACGGACAAATAAAAAAACTAAGATAGAAAAACATTAGCGAAATAAGATGTACAATTTTTTTCCTTGGAAATTGCTATGTTTGGAGTCCTTTTTCACATAGAGTCCAATCTCACCTGATGGAAAATGAGGATCAACTGCAATTTCTTCCACACTGAGAAAAAGTATGTTTTTGATACTGTGATTTTTCTTAGTGCCTGTAAATAAATAAATAAATAACAAATCAAACACATCAATACGGACAGAATAATCTTTAAAACCTGTTACTTACCAGAAACTTTACAAAAGTGGTTCTGAAGCAAAATAACAGAGAAAATAGCAAAAGTCTTCAAAACAAGCATCCAGCGATGATTTACAGCCGATAGTGACATTTTTAAAAAATGACCAGGAGCATGAAGATAGACCACAAATTGAAAATATATGTAATTTTTAAATGCACCTCAGTTTGCGGTTACTTCTGTTGTATGACTCAGATGGAGTCTGAATAGTTCATCACTACCACAACACATCTTCTGTGGCATCATTACCCTTCTGTCTTATTTAACATGCAAATAAAGCACGATGACAGAGTGGACACCTTTTAATAGAGGACCTGTTTTGCTACAGACTGGATAAACCATTGTATTTTCACACAATTGTTGAAAAATTTTCATTACACATTTTTATTAAAATTTTTATGTTATTAAACAGTTTCAAAAGGAAATTATTATCATAACAGTCACTGACTTTTTATAACTTTTCCACAGTAAATTTCTGTTTCTGCTGCTTTTACAACAATTTTATTTCAAAAGGCTTCTCTGTCTGTAGATATGGCTGGTTGTGTTCACCATGAGAATAACTTGTTATATATACTGTACATGACTAAATACACTGAACTGATGCCATTTCATGAGATAATCTGCTGTTTGTTCATGCAAACAGCAGTGGTAGCTATAATGTGGTAGATAAGTCTATTTTTGGGGGTTAATAAAAACAAGGACATGTAAACCTGATATAGCTATAAAAGTTGTTTTTTTTTCTCACATTTTCAAAACCTTTAAAACTGCCTGCAAGTTTACATAGTTTAGTGAAACTAAGGGACGATGCAAACATTGAGGTGAATATGTTTTAAACCTGACATGCAAATTAGGTATGATCCACAGTTTTCATTTCCTTCCATCTTGACTGTTGAGTGTTTCATGTCTGTCATGTACAAACCTGTGCAATCTGGAAGCTTAAAAAGTAATTGTTTAATTTCATTAACAACCACTAATAATTTATGTTGTTTAAATGCCTGAACTTACAACGGAAACATACAATTAATCCATCTCATTTGCTCATTTGGTCAAGCATTAACTATTACCTAGTTGACGCAGTGGATTAACATTTATTTGCATTTTGATCTTGTTGAGTGGGAAGACTTTATTTAAAACTGTATGCGGAAACAGTTCTTGTAACACAAAACATGTTTGTATTTTGTGTTACAAGAGGACTGCTGTTGAATACTCCAAAAATGACTGAACTATAGTACGAGGAAGTTAAACTATGCTGCCCACGTGATGCGTTGTTCTTATCAAGATAGACAGCAAGCCAACATTAGAAAATAATCCAATCCTTCATGGTTTTTCTTGGTATTACTTTGCAACTCTTTCCAATAAGTTGATATCAAAACACAAACACAACTGTTGCCAGGTAGAGTTATGAATAAAGTCTTTCTGCTCAGCAAGATCCAAATGCAAATAGTTTGAAAAATTATATCAAATTCAAAACATCAACCACAGATAAAATACAGAAACAACCAGACCCCTGCAAACAAATGGCTCCCAATTAGTACTAATTAGTTAACTATGTAGCTTAGCTTAGAAGTTTAGTTGTAAACAGAAAGAACCTTTCCTGATAAAGTATTAAACAGTACTGAAATAATAAAATGAATTTACAAACCAATAATGTCCAAGGGACAAACATGTCTGAAGGACAGCCAATGACACCACGTGCACAGCCCGTCCGCTTCTGCTTGACTGACCAAATTAAACACAACGTCCATTATGACATAGGCATTTAGCAAATTTAAATAATTTTGGTAATTCCAACTGATCTAAATCAAGATTTAACTTCAGATAGTGAGGAAAAAAATACCGGTAACACTTTATTTGATGGGCTGTGAATAAGACTGACATGACACTGTCATTAATATGACATAACACCTGTCACAAACATGAGTAAGTCTTCATGAATGTTTATAACTGTTGTCTTAAAGTGTCATTTGGTAAATCATGGCACTTTTAATTCAAAGTTGCCATTATTCAAAATGTCTTTGTTATGACAACTTGACATTAACCAAAAAATCATGCTCTGACATAAATTTGCCATAAAAGTATCACTGATTAAACTTTAAAAAAATATGTAGCTTTATTTTATTAAAGCTAAAGTTTAATCAGTAACACATTAACTTGTGTGATCTGTTGAGTATTTACAGATCATGTAAATCTACTTACATGCAGTGAATGTTCACATGAGCCTACTGTCTCTGTTGACTTTAGGCTTGAGTTATGTGTACATATGTGTGATGTATAACTAATATGCTAAACAGTTATTTCTGCCGAACAGAAACTAGACTATATTACAGGACTGAAAAAAATATATACTTTTATCTTGCTTGTCCTATTTTGTCAAAGTTCAAGAACTTTGATCAATAACATTTCTATTTCATTGATTCACTTTTCACTTGACTTCAGAAAGCTCTCCTGAATACACCTTAAATTTTATTTTCATTTTAAGATCGGGACTTTTATGGACTAAACATAAGCACGTCACAATGATATTATGACTTTAATTAAAGAGGCTCCAAATGTTTTACACAGTCCCTCCCCTCTTGAATTGTGTTTATTTGCAAATATCTTGTTCATTTCAAGCTATACTTTTAAATAAACTTAGAATTCAGACAACAATCATCAACATTATTCTACTCTCAGACATTTTTTGTTAAGTCTAAATTCTAAGTGTCCCTGCTTTAATAGGGCTTTTTTTATAATAGTTGTTTTGAAACAACTAATTTAACCCCCTATTGTTTAAAAAAGCCAAAACAAATTGAATGCTACAAGGATAATGAAGGCTGAGTTCAGATTCACCATTTCAATTAATACAATTCTGGGATAGTTTGTGTCCCACAATTTAGGTCAAAAACCTTTAGAAAGTACAAAAATGCTTAATAAGAAAATCAATACGCCCAATGTAACTGCAACAAAACATATGTAATTATTATCCTGTCCTTTATTGGTTAAGACAAATCTCATTCAGTTTCGTTTCAATAGTCCTTCATTCACCCTCTTAGTAAATAATAAGTAAACTTATTGCAATGACGTTTTTTTTCCACACAAACCGTATTTTTTTTACTTTTTACGGTTGGGCCATGAGTTGATTTTGGGCGTATCTGGTACCGTGTGTTCCTGGCCCGACTGGTTTTATGATCGGGAATTCCTCATAAAGGTAGTGGCACGCTATCTGATAAAAACACACTATCTGATAATGGTAATGTTTTCCATTCCAGGTGAGACTAAATTTAGTCAGGTGTTCCTGATAAACCAGCACTGAATTTCTGCTTAGATGTCATGTATTGCAGTCCTGAAAACAAGCTACTTTTGGAGTCTCGCTTGCTTGTCCTGTTTTGTCATAGTTCAATAACTTTGAAATAGATCAATAGTAGTATGTTGTGTTTTTAAATTTGCTTCTTATATCATCAGTATTAGTATCATTGGTAATGTTTGCTGAACTTTTCTGTTCACATGTCACTGTACTATTTTGTCGTCCCAGTCCACAGCAACCATAAGCTTACTGACAGGTGTTTACATGCATAAAGGATCACTGATCAGTCTTGATAGAAGTGTGAAATGTGTTTTATACCTCCAGGCCTCTGACATACAAGCAGAAATATAAACAGCACATTGAGGGGTGGGTTACATAAAATAAACTTTCTAGGAACATGTAATGTGGAAAAATGTCCTAATTTTTTTTACAGCTGGTATGTGTAATGAAAAATTTATCATGGCTAGGTTTGGAAATTATATAGGCTACTGTTGTCAGGTTGTGTCTAGTCTGAAGTGTTTGGACAGCTATCCGATTCTAGAAAGAACAAATACCCACATAAACTACGTGGAGATATGATTAAATGCACATCAACTGTCCGCAAATATGACAAATGGCATAGACTTCAATTTAACGAGAGCTCCTTCACTGAACTTCATAGGTTGATAATGTTTGTTAAGTAACACACAAGCAGCAATTGACATAAGACCTGATAATTTAAAAAGCAATTGTGAAATTAAAGGTAAATTCTTACATTGTCTTTCTACAATAACAAAAATGAGTCCTTCTTAGTTGCTTATGATTAACATAATGTATTCCTAGGAGTTGTTTTGCAGTTCAGATTTGAAAGGATTCCTTTATGAACATTCAAATAGATATATTTTGGGGAACAGTTTTATCTTAGTTATTTATTCTTAGGCCTGTGTATATTCTCAATCATCTGAGCCATTTCTCATCTTAGGTGCACTTTTCCTACAGGAAATGGTGAGGCCACTTCTTGTCAGCTGCTCTTCTGGCTGAAAATAATTATCAGCAGGCAAGCAACACATCAGATTGGCTGAGGTTGTTCCCAAGAGCTGTGCTTCAGCTTGCACATTCTGCCATTTTCCTTCAAAAAGCTTGCAAATTGTAAGTGGGTCATGTTTACACAATCAAAATCCTAAGACATCACATGCTAGCAGATCATAGTTAACCTCCAAAATATTAAAATAGAAATAGGAGCCACAAACAAAACAAATATAGTAAGCAGTTTATTGAAAATGACATTTAGATTCCAACAATCTGTAACTCAGTGAATACATTTTCAAGACCATAATTTGTCTCCCATACCACTCTTGTTGATTACTTAAACAAATATTAGGCATAATTAATTTTTCTATTTTGGTGTCTTCAGAGGTTCCATATAAACAACCTTTTCACAACTTGTACAACTCACTTGAAAGACAAGATAAGATTCTTTACAAAGAAATATTCTGAGTCTTTAAGGTCTAAATTTATTGGGACACCTTGACCTGGAAATATGTGTTCACTCTTCAAAGTTCATCAGAAAATGTTTTGAAGTTTTATTTCTAGAACTGTGATTAAAACCCAATTAACTCAACAAGTTTTCTTTAACTTTTCAAATGACAATTTCAGTTTTCTATATACAATAAATCACTACTAGTAAGAGAAACCAAGGATGCGGGAATGAGTAACTTATCCATGGGTAGATGACGTGCTCACATTTTCGGTGGTCCCACTGCTGCTTTTGGATTGTTTTGTGTTGTCTATAAGCACCCTGCTTGAAAAGTAGTAGTAGACGAACAGGAAAAATCCTGCAAACACAGAATGAGTTGTTTTGCTCATTTTCCAGTTTTATTTACTGTGAAATTCAAAATGTTAATGGTCACGCTTCATCCTACCTTGAAAGGAGTTAAGGATGGTGAAGATGTAGTAGGAGGGAAGGAGCAGAGGGCCATAGCTGAAAAAAGCAAATCCCCAGGTGATGCCCAAGAGGCAGAAAAGACCCAGAAGAGAGAAAATTCTTTTCTTGGTGGAGATGTTGTCTTGGTTTTTTGCTTTCTTGGACGAAAAGTGTTTGATCTGCACAACAGTTACTATAAAAACTGTTAAGGTGAAGATGAACACAATGCTATAGTAACCAATGTTCACTCCACTGTGGATTGTAGAATCAGGGATCCAGCACCTGAAAGTCATGACAGAAATGCAATTATTCTACAGAAAGACAATCAAATGTTAAATCCAGTACATATTTATTGTTTCCTTACATAGATACAGAGGTTCCATTGTCACCAAAAACTTCGATTAAATCATATTTGCTCGAAGCGAGAAGTCCAACAACGAACACAGCTGGAACAACTGAACAGACAAATATTATCTATTATTGAAAAATACAAAAAAAAATTTCTTCTTGATTTTTTTGGGCATATGATGTTTTAGCCTTAGATCTCTTACCCCATCCTGTGCTGCAAATCTTACACATGTAATATCTGATGTCTGTGGAGATCTGGTGTAGATTGAAGTACAGGTGCAAGGCCTGTATGAAGAACCATGTGAATGTGGCCAGCATGCTGTAGTGCAGAGCCGCTGCCATCGCCACACAAGCTGCTGAGACCTTCAGTTTAGCAATTGACTCATTTACCAAGAAGCAAAGGTTCAGGAGGAACAAGGCGACGAAGAGATTCATGAGGATCTTTACAGCCTCACTGGCTTTATTTTTCCTGTGAAGCAAATTGGTTTGTGTTGACAACCTGGTTCAGAGAAGTATAATTAATATAAAAAAGCAGGCTTTTTGATATTTTTACCTGACCAGAAAATGCATGAAGAGAGCCACGCCCAAGAAGAACAAGGATATACCACAGCCAGCCTTTGTGATTTTGGTCAGGGTTTTCAAATCAGATGAACTTATAATTCCAGTAGAATTATTACCATCTTTGCCAACAGGCAATGATGACTGGTTCAAAATAAAGAAGTGTATTTAATAAATTACAAAAATGTCACATATATTTGACATTTAAAATATTGTATACAATCTTCTTACCATGAGAATAGCAAAAAATGTAAGATGAGAGCAACTGCATTTAATACTGCCATTGACTTCTAATGTCAGACAGCCCTCTGTGGTCCAGTTTGCTTCAGTCCCTGAAGGACAATAGGAACACAAAGAAAAGACATTATTGAATTTATAGGCGAGAACAATATGGGATAAAACAGTGACCTGAAATTTTATTTCGTCTGCCGTTACATTTGCATGCATGTGAGTAGTCAATGACAAAACATTATGAAACTTTGGATTAAGTAAAAAGGTAAGATTTCTTTCATTCAAATTGAAAAAGATAGCTCAGACTATAATGAAGAGGTCACAGGACTGATTTTCTTTTTCACTTAAATCAACTAGTAAAACTAAAAACTACAGTATCAGCAGTACACATGTGAATGTTTTCAGACACTAAAATGAAGTGTAGTTAAATCAACTGATATCTTTCAGTACCATTCCTGAGCCAGCATTTAGAAACTTCATAGGATACTTTTTAAATTTGCATAAATTGAATCAACCTACCATTATCAGTTTTTCCACCCCATGATATACAAGTGGCATTAAATCCAGTCTGTTTCAGGGTAAAAGAAGAAAAAATAGATTAGCCTTAATCTGTTTCACTAAAAGTTAGTATGGAACTTGTTAACATATTTACCGTGTTCACATTAGTGAACTGAATGTCGATGGTTTGTGAGAGATTAAATATGCTTGCTCCCATTTCCACCCCCAGCATTTCGTTTTTGAAAAAGGAATGATTCTGGTCAATCTGTTGAATGAAATGCAGTTGATATTAAATTAGTATGTCTGAGTTTTAGCAAAACAAGATCATCTTTGGGTTTTACCTGAGGAATATCTGGAAAAAGCAAAACTCCAGCAAATGATCCGTTGTTTTCAACTGCCATTTCACTGGCTTCCTCAGGAAGGTAAACACTTTTAGAGAAGTCCATCACCACATCATTTTTCTGAAGAATCTGTTACAGGCAGAGCTTGTTTAGAAGAACTCAGATGATGGATACCATATATATTTGCAATTACTTCTCTACTTACATTTACATTCCGACCTGATGTGAAACCAAAGCTCATGCTTGTGTGATTCTTTTTTGGCAGTTTAGCAATCACCCCAGTGACATTTCCCATTTTGATCTCTGCTGTGCTTGCATTGCCCATCAAACTCAGTTTTGAGGAAAGATCTTTCATGATATCCCTGAAAATAATAATTTAACATTAGTCAACAGTAATATTCCTGATGTAGTGACACATAGAGCCTGTAGTTTGCTTGTCATCCTTGCATTACTGAGATAAAAAATTTACTTACGCTGCTTTCGCTGGATTTATAGGTGTGTCTGAAGCATTTAAGGTCATGGTTGTCTCTGCCGGCTTCCCTGGGAGGTCACACTTTACACGTCTTGTGCATTGTTTTATTTGAACAATATATTCAGTCTTTTTTGAACCTGCAGGCACACACACACACACACATGCACAGTTTGTTAATAATATGTGCTACAATTTTCTTTAAATTCACTTATAAATGCAAAAATTACCGTGACATTGTTGTTCTTCCGAGATCAGATTTTGTCCACATAGACCCTCTTTACTCAGTCTGATATTCTTCCCACCTTAAAACAAAACATAAGACCTTGTTAGGAGGAATATTGTTGCTAACAAACCTTATGCTGATGGACAAAGTTACCTGGTTTTAAGCACCTGTGAAGATTTAGGATAAAACCTGAAGGTGAAATGAATATGCCTTATTTGAAAATGAATTCATGTAATGATGAAATAAGATATATACACTTTATCACCAGTAGGGGGCAACCTTGCCCTGCTGTTCATAAACAAATGACTTGCCTGTTGAAATGTAGAACATTGACGGCAAACATGAGAAATTGTAAGACGGGTTCAGCAGCAATACAACATCATGGTTTTGTAGAGACATTTCAGATAGATGCAGATTGTAAAGTGTGCTGGTGTTCCAAATTGTTGTTGTGCTGCAGTTGAAATTATTCCTGCAACAGTCTGAAAATACATTCAACCAGAAACATTTAGATGCCAAGATGTAAACTTTCATGGTTATTTCGAAAATGGACCTGGAAAACTGTACCTGCGGATGTTTTGTTTGCCTGGATGTTAAAACACAGCTTAGTTTTATTCTCCTCTTGAAAGATGACCTCTAAAAAGCACACACACACACACAAAACCACAGTGTCTTTGCTTGTGTTTGTAATATTTACTTTAAGAAGGACAGAATTTCATATTTGTAAAGCCAAACTTACCTGATGGGAAACGCGCAGTGTTTGTCTGATCTGGAGTATCAGGTCTGATAAACAGAATGTCTTTGATCCAACTCCCATCTGTAAGAAACACCAGCTGAATCAATGAACCAATAACATTAAACAATACATATCCATCAGCAGCGCCCTTTAATTACTTACTTGTAGCATCACAAAAGAAGTTCTGGAACACAAACCCCACAAAGAAGATAAATATCTTCAAAACCAACATCCAGCGATGATGCGCAACAAGTGGTGACATTTTCAGAGCATCTAAGTTTCAGTCCTGCTTTAATGAACAGGTGTGTCTGTTACATGACTCAGAAGAAATGTGCATTGCCTTTTGCTACCAAGTGTAGATGCCAATGTGGTGTCATAAAATCACTATTTCACTTGCAAATAATGCGTCAGTGTTCTGCAATAGTATTTTTTTTTTGGTGCCTATTTTCCTAAAGTGTAGATGAAAGGCAGCCCTGTTTGTTTGACCTATCAGTTATCTGTTTTCCAACGAATATTATAGCCACCAAGCTTTTAATTTTGCATTGTGTTGCCCATGTAGCAGGGCTAAATATTGCTTACCAGAATTAATAACAAATTTATTTGGAATTAAGGATTTTTTTCTTATTTGTTTCTCTTTATAGTAAATGAATCTTTTTTTCTTTTTTTAGAATATGTTTACACTATAGAAAGACATTTCTGTGTGCCATGGCCATGTTAGTTCAGCTGAATAACAATAATTTGTCCCAAACATTTGCTATTAAGATTATTTAACTTTATGACCTAATTCCCCATCTGTTTGAACTCCCTTCTTGACACACACACACACATGCACGCACATCCCTACACACACATATATAATATGACAATGAAAAAGGTTGATTGGAATGGCGCTGGAGTTCAAGCTTTTTACAAGAGGCATGCTTAAAAAAAACCTGTGTCCTTTAATGCTTCAGGACTTGGAAGACATAGCATAATTTCAGGAATCAGCTGTTCATGCTCCAAAGACCGTCAGATGACTGAAATGTAACTGCTTCTCACTTATTGTCTACTAAGTTTAAATTTTCTCTCCCAATAGTCATTTGAAAGCTCCTTGTTTTAAATTTCTTTGTGGTTTCGTTTTATGTTCTGAGACATATACGTGACAAAAAAAAAAAAAAAAAACAACCACAAGAAATCTTGAGAAATCTATATTGTGATTTTGCAGACATCAATTTTTTTTCAAAGTTTAAACTAGTATTGATGTACATCTGGCTATTTTGTGAAAGATTTAGCAACCAGTAATTAAATGCAATGCTGTTGTACTGCATTGCATTTAATTACTATTGTATGAAACAATATGTTTCTAACTGATATCGTCACTCTTCTCTGCAATCAACCGAAATGTACGCACTTGTTTTTGTAACAGAAATATAAAAAGTATGTACACTCTGCCAGATAGTCTTACATGATCAAACATTCCCCGGATCTCTGTAAGCAATATGATGCAAATGAAGTAAACAAATAGCTGCCAAAGTTCCACAGTCTTTTTGAAAGGCTTGATTCATAGCTGAACATGGTGACATTTGTGCTCCTAATAAATGAGGAGTGCATTGGAAATGATTAAAAAAGCCACAGAAATTTCCAATATTTCTAAAAAAACAAACAAAAAAAAGGTTGTTTTTTTAAAAACCTGGTTGTGTAAATAATCTATTTTGTATAATATACAGTGCATTTATTTTCATCTAATTGCATGCCCTGTTAAAAAGACTTAATTTTAGGTCAGCATAATTATTAGATTACTTATTAATTCTAAAAGCCAAAGTGTTGTCCAAACGCTGTCCTTCTAAAACCCATGTCATCTATATTATAGATGGAGCCTTATCTTTTAAGTCTTTCTCTGTGGAATATTTTGGGCTTGGTTGCAAAGGATTTTGATGTCAAAGTCCTTTGCATGAGAAGTTATATTTACTTTTCCTAGGTGATATGCTGATGTGTTGTTAGGGTGTTTCAGCCCATCTGTGTCGCAGTTGTCCTGCTCTTTAGTCACCACAGCACATATGAGTGAACAGTTTGTGAGGCTTAAGGCTTGTCCACATTAGAACCAGAGGAAATCTCCTCCCACTATTCACTCTATACATCTCAGCCTTCTAGTCTCCATTACCAGATAGAGTTCTGTTATCTGAAGACTTATTTAGATGAGCAAATCCTTTGCATGGAGAGATGGTGGAACACTTTGTGACATGGTGTCAGAACATTCAATCTTAAATATTGACAAAGCACAGCAGATATCTATAAATATCATGAGAAACTTCATATTTCAAAGTGGAGAGGATAGAGGAGTATCGATGCCTCGAGCTTCACCTAAACACCGGACTGTAATGGGGATGGAATCATGATGCTACATATAAGTAAGCACAGCTCAGACTGTCCTTGAAGAAATGATGGTATTTTAATACTCACACCCAGGTGCTACATATCATTGATGTTCACAAGTGTTTTTTTTCCAAATGAGAACTGAACCAGACATACGCCGGTTCGTGAGATTTGCCATTGGTGAAGCAGCTTTATTTGACTCCTTAGTGGCAGTTACTACATCCTCAGCATGTTATACAAAGGGGCTGGACGAGCCATCATTTGATTCAGGTGTGTTAAATCAGGGAGAAAACTAAAACATCCAAAGTACAGTAATAAGAAACTAAGAAGTACTGAAAACAAACCCAAAAGTAAATGAAAACACAGACATCTGTGATTCATGACATATTGATGTTGTCTTTTTTATATGGCTACAGTTGACATTAACTGATTTATATGAGTCAATAGTAGCCCATAATTTACTAATACCACTGGCTAGTATTAAGCACATTTACGTGGCACACAGTAGCAGTCTGTTGCTCACGGACTGGAATAATAAGATTAACAAAACGTAAGTCTCAGGCAAATCATGTCCCAAGACTTTTGAGCACAAGTCTAAGTCAAGTCTGACGTATTTTATTTTTTCATGTTTTATTTTTTCATGTTTCAAGTGAAACCTTTGAAACCTCAAATCTCTGCTACATATCTTTTAAAAAGTCTGCTAAACTTCTTTTGTGGAGAGCACAAGCAGCCTCAGAGTCACTGACTCCAAAAAGATCCAACAAGCTGACAAAGAAGGCCGGCTCTGTTCCGGGAATTGGTCTGGAGCCTCTAGAGATGATTGTTCCAAAATGAATGTTTCCTAACACGAAGAACACAATGGAGAACACTGACTATGTCTTAATGAGACTGTATTTCATCAGTGGTGTATCTTTAATCAGAGGCTTTTTCATATGTGAAATAACAGAAAAATGCAGGATATACTTCTTGCTTGCCCACAACCACCATTTACATTGATTCTTTAAAGAAGCTGGTATGAGTTATTCATTTCCCTTCTGAGATTAATAAAGTAATGCACTGAACATTAAAATAACTATATCAGATGTTAATTTGCAATTCTATAAATTTCAGAGAAAAAATGTTTTATAACTTTAAAACAATATGTAATCTGTTTATAGGAAACAGATTACAGACCATGATTGACTGCTGAAGAGATAGAGATACTTTATTAAAATGATGACATATACTTACTAAATAGATAAATTACTTATTAATTTACTGGACTGTGGCCCTTTTGCCCTTCATGCTATAATTTTGCTTTTATAGCAATGGCTTTGACTATTGGTGAAACCGTGATAATACATTAGCACAGGTGTTTCTAATAAATCTATGCTGTACATTTGAGACTTATATTCATGTGGTGAATCACTGGTTAAATTTATTGTTTTAAGTTGTTGAAAAAAAGGCTTGTATGTATTATTTACAAGGTTTGTAATAATAAAAAGACTTTTATATCTTGAAATTAAGAATTGTGTATTTTATAACATTTCTCTCTTAAAATTTCAGGATACTATTTCATTTTCTTAAATATCATTAGGTCCCCAGCCAACAGTGACCATATTAGCTTATTGGCAGGTGTTTGTGTATATGAAGTATCACTGACCAGTTTTGACAGAAGTGTGAAATGGGTTTTATACCTCAAGGCCATTCGATAAACATGCAGAAAGGGTCGGCACAGGGAGAGGTGGATTACAGAAGATGAACTTCCTATGAACCTGCAGTGTGAAAAATGTGCTAATGCTGCCTCCTGGTGAAGATTTGACAGCCGGTGCTACCAGTACAGATGATGAAATATTTAACACAGCATAGGCTTAAATACTACAAAGGCTATTGTTGGTCTGACAAATTTGCATCTAAGAAATTATAAATGTTTCAATATTTAGTAGAAATTGGAAATCTGATGAAGTATAGATAAACTCACTGCGTCTGATCATTTAAAACAACACAATCTTTTTGTTGATGTGAACAAGTTGATAATGTCTTAAGATTGAGCCTGGAGGCTGCAAAGCCAATTAGCAGCCGGAAAAAAAATATATTTTAAGATATGATCATGGTCTGAGTTGTCCAGGTTTAATTAATTGATGGAGTTTGTATTGATAGTTTGGAGTCAGTGAGCCATGTGGTGATGTCATCATTAGCTTCTCACAATGAGTTTAATATTGACAGGTTAATGTGGACGCAAGAAAAAAAAAAAAAAGATTTCGGACCATTAAGCAGTTATTTTTATCATTAAAGAGTCAAAATATTCAATGAATTATGCCGAGAATAAAGACTATGATTGTTATTGTGAGTCATTTGAGTAATATGTGTATTTTTGCTGCTAAATAAAAAAATGCTCATTTGTTTCCAAGTGTTATGTCAGGCACACCCAAAGATATTTTATTTTTTTCAAGCTTTTTTGTTGTTTTATGCAGAAGCTACAAAGCGCTGCGGATAGAAAGCCACAAGCTCTGTGCCGTATGATAGATGAATATCTGATGGATCTTCTTCTGTCAAGCTGGAGCACTGGAGAGCTGTCTAGTCGGCATTTGTTTTGGAAAACTTCCCCGATTAATTTTGTTGTCTGGTGGAGCGGCTTTGCAGCTGCTGCTGTTCCAGCCATGGAGATTCCCAAGAAGACAACTGGTGGAAATTCTGGCACTTCATGGTAGAACACAATAGTTCTGTGTGCACACAAACTTTAAAACCGAGCTCCCTAACCCTTTCCTTGAACTTGTAATTTCTAAGGTCAATTGATCACCCAGTACAGGCCTTGGCTACATACTCACCAAAAAAATAAGCTAGATATTTCTATATTTATGTGAACTAGGTATGAATGTCATGTCTAATCCTGTTGAAAAGATTACCATCTCAGCACACGAGAGATTAGACCTTGCTAGTCTTTCCAATTAAAAAAGTGACATTGAGGCATCGCAGTTACACATTCGCTGGATGACCTCA